AATAGGAATGAGCAGAGCTTTCTCTTCTCTTCTGAAGACTCTTCAAAAGAGAGGACAAGGCAGGTGTCTCATATGCCGACCAGTGGTGTGCAAAACATACTGGGTGACCCCCTCCGAAACCCAGGAACAAGAACAAGGATACTTTGTTTCATGAGAAACAAGTCATTTGTGAAAAACAAGTTATATAAGTGATCAGAGAGGGAAAAAAACATGTTTTTGCAGTCTAACCTTAATACAATAATATTATAGGTAAATCATGGACGATGTATCTGAATCTCAGGATGGTCAGTCTATACATGATCAGAATCAATCCACACCTCAATCACCTCTTATGTATGACAATAACAGGACAATGATTAATTCTAGGCACCGTAGTTGTCCGGAAATTTGTCCTAATACAGCAATAGAAAAAAACTGTAATATGTCTGACTTAGAGCAAGTGAAGTAAAAGGAGCAAAGTAGTCAGGAACGGAGGAAATTCACCAAGGAGGAAATTTTGATGGGTGCAGTTAACCAATATATTTTTATATATTATTACAGGTACTGATATACCCAGCTAAAGTCTGAGCCACTTAATGAGTGGGGGGGTGGGGGGGGGGTGCTAGCAGAGAAACCTGCCAGGGGGGCTTGCCGAGCATGTCGGAGCAGATGCGCAGATTAGCAGAAAGACATTACATCGTTGAACAGAAACAAGCAATTTACGGACCAGATATAGCACTACCTGCGATGGGCTGCCCCCCCATCCTGGGTTGTTTCCTGCCTCGTACCCGTACCTTCCAGGATAGGCTCCGGACCCCCCACAACCCAGAAGGATAAGCAGGAAAATGGATGGATGGATGGATGGATGGATGGATATAGTACTACATTATGAACGAGTCACTGGTCCTATAAAGCCTTCTCACAGGGCAGTACTTTGAATGCGGTGAACAAGCCTATGAAATAATTCATCCTCCACTGCAGAAATTGGCTAATCGTCCAATGCAATGAGCTCCATCATTTTAGTAGTTATGTCTTTAGCTCTGGTGCTGCTAACTTTGAATATTGATAAAGTTTAAATATCGGTCAATATTGACATATTGGACCAATGTAGATATCTTTATTTTTTTAACAGATATCGGCCGATACTGATATGTTAACTGATATTTTATGCATCTCTACTTATTTTGCAGGTAAATCTCTGCATTAAGTAGCACACTCTATCCTGTGTCGGTCTGCGGGTCCCTGGTCTTCAGACAAAAAAGTCCATAATGGGTAAGTTTCCCTAGTTTTGTAGAGAGAGTTGCCTTTTTGAACATCATTTTAAATTGTAAAATTATGGTGTTCAAATTCTGCAATGGGTTGCCGCCCCATCCTGGGTTATTCCCTGCCTTATACTGATAGCTTCTGGGATGGGCTTCAGATCCCTGCTACCCTGCATAGGATAGACGGGTATAGAAAATGGCTCTATGGATGATGTTGAAATTCATGTTAAATTAGCTAATTTCCTTCTAATTTAGTAGATTTATACTACTGCTGTTTATTATACCTTGCATTGATCTCTAGGATAAGCAGCTTCAAAAAATGGATGGATGGATGATCTCATGTATATTTTGATATTTTAATATAAATATACGAATTTTAATATGACAATATGTCTGCAATATATTGATTGGTTTGATCCCTCAAAATTACATATATATGTGCATATACCATGACCCTGTACCTACACATAGGTATGGAAGATTGATGGAGATGTAATTATATACCTATTTTCATGTGATATAATATATTTTTTTTAATTTTTTTTTCTTGGTAAAGCTGAGGAAAGTGAAAAACGACCAATTGAAAGTTGGACAGAATCCGATGTGAGCACCTGGTTAAGGTCCATAAAAATAAACGAGAAATATATTCAGAAATTCCAAGAGGAAGAAGTCAATGGGGATGTCCTCTTACAAGCAACTGAAAAATATCTGAAAAACAAGATTGGAATGAAATCTGGACCAATCCATCTTCTGATGACCAAAAGAGATGAGCTCACCAATTCTTCTCCAGCTGCTAAGCCTCAAGACGTCGCTGCAGAGAAAAGTGAAAATCAGTCAAACCAGCAAGAGCAGTGTGATTTAAGTGAGAAAGGAATCAAAGTAAAATCAAAAACCAAAAAAAAAAAAGCTTCTCTGAGTGGGTTATCTGCGAAAAGAGACTGCAGGCCTCGGCCTTTTGGCAAAGATGGGGTTAACTTCACATATGCAAAGCACAACGTGTTGAAGCCTGAATCAGGAGTTGTTGATATGATTTCTCCTTGTCATGAATACAAGTCATTTGAAATTGCTGCTGATTTGGACAATCAGAGGTTACAAGCCAAACTTGCCAAAGAAACTTTCAAATTCGCCTGTGGATGTATGAACATGCGAACAAATGGCACAATACACTTCGGTGTCATGGACAGTGTAAACGACTCTGGTTATGTTCATGGTGAGATAATAGGTATTCCTATTAAAGATAAAGATGTTTATGTTGATGCATTAGACTACATGAATAAGTGCTTTAAATCTGACAGTGACCTCGCAGCAGAATGTATTCGCCCACCAGAGTTTATTGAAGTTTCAGACACTGACAGCACAGAAAAATATTATGTGGTAGAAATTGACATTGTACCAAAAATAAGTATCGTGTGCAACAAACTGTTCTCTGTCTGTCTGCCGAATTTCAAGGAAAATTCAAACAAGGTGGAATATGAAAAGAAAACAATGTACTGTAGAAATGGTTCCAAAACAGAACCAATCAGCAATCAGGAAGAGTTCTACTCCAGCCTAAGACACAGAGATGAGCTTAGAAAAGAAGCGGAAAATGACCATACTGTTCCAGATGTGAGTGTTGACCTTGGAAGGAAACTGGCAATGTTGATCACTGATGGAAAAGGGAAAATTGAAAAGGAAAAGTGGCACATTGTTGTTACAAACAGATTTCAGGAAGAACATTTGAAATGCATTGACTTTTTACTGGATCTGAAAATTTTATGTGTGTTTGACTTCGACCCCAACTCTAAAGCATCTGGATTATGCAAGAAATACCTTGAGCACCATGCAGCAAATTTGCATTTCTTACAAAACTACAAAATGCCAGATGAAATGAGCATTAAAGACTTTGAAGGTGAATTGCATTTGTTTGAACAGGTCAGCTGGATTTTTTGCAATGGACGAAATGATTTCCGTGGAAACGAGACTCCCTGTGATGAAATGACATGGATTAAAACTAGAAAGTCATTTCTAAAGGAGGCAGTGCGTCTGATCTGTAAACAAATCTTACCAAACGGCACTTTCTCTGTGATTTTCTTTCTTACCTCTCCAGTGGAGCTACCGATCGTTCACACTTTCCATGAGTTCTTTGCTGAAATGCAAGGTCATGATGATATCATTTGCATTTCAGAGTCTGAGGAAAATTACAGCAAATGGGAAGGTTTTGCTCAGTCATCTTGCACTGCTGAGACTGTGCAGTCTAAGAGTGTTTCAGGGATGAAAATGAGCCATATCAATGCTACAATTCAGCAGCTTCAGCCCTCCAGAACAAGGGTCGTCAAGCATCTTTCTGTCTTCAGTAAAGGTGTTTGTCAACTTGAAAAGGTTGAAGAAGAAAGAATGTCTGCAATAGAAATTCTGAGCGTTGAGCAGTGTGATGATACCAAAATTGATTCTGAGGCTGAAATCAAAAACATTGAAGAGAATTTTTATCGAGGGGGTAAAGTGAGTTGGATGAATTTTTGGTTGTCAGAGAAGAAACATGTTGGGGACTTCATTCAGAGAGATACATATAAAGAAATTTCCAAACGTATCAGTGACCTTCCCAAGTGGAGTTTCGAACAACCAGCTGTTTATGATCTTAGAATATACCACCAACCAGGTAGTGGTGGAAGCACTGTTGCACGGCAAGTGCTCTGGAATAACAGGAAAAACTTCAGATGTGCAGTGGCAAGACACTCATTCTCTGCTTCAAAAGTGGCTGAACACGCTGTGAAGTTGCGAGAGTATGAGGAAGCTGATGCACAGAAATGTCTTCCAGTTCTTTTGCTGGTTGAAGATTTTGACACAGAATACCTTGAAGATCTAAGGAGAGAGCTTGAATTGGCCGTAAGAACTCAGAAGATCAAGCCAGGGACACTGTGTTTTATTTTACTAAGCTGCAGACAATCACGTGAACCAGAAAAAATGTGCAAGGAGTCACCCTCACAGAATTTTTCTGTGACTCATAAACTGTCAGCGGAAGAGAAGAAAGAGTTTGCACGAAAAAAGACTGAAGTTGAAAAGCAATATTCAGCTGATTACATCATAACCTTTGTTTTGATGAGTGAGGAATTTAACAAACAATACATCATCAAATTTGTGAAAGATTTACTTGATGGCATTAACCATGAAGATGTTGTCACTCATCTCATTCATTATGTAGCATTACTCAATACATATGTGCAAAACTCCTATCTCTCTCAGTCCCACTGTGAAGCTCTACTACTACTAACCATGCAGACAAATATGCAGACAAGTACAGGACAAAAACACACAGACAGATTCCGAAGGCATTTGTTTGAATCATCATTAAGCGAGCAGGCCAAAGTTCTTTTCATCCATCTGAGAGATGAGAAGACTCATATTCAAAGCATACGCATCCTTCATCCCTTAATTGCTGAAGAAGTTCTTCGGCAACTTTTGGGCAATGACCAACAGCAGAGTGACATAGCCATGAAACTGCTCAAAGATGATGTGCTTTTTCAGAACAATTTTGGAAAAGAGCATTACTATAGATTCCTGCGTGACCTCTGCATGAGGCGCAACAAGATCAGTAAAGGAGACAAGTCTGACACTTCATTTTCTCCTCTCATTGAACACATTTTGAAGAAGGAAAACCTGGAAAAGGCCTTTGAGATCCTGAAAGCAGCCTACACACGGTTTAATGAAGATCCCTTCTTTGCTCAGCACCTTGCACGGTTGTGTTACACATACAAAGAGTTTCTGGAAGCCAACAAATGGGCAAATGTAGCAGAGAAAAAGATGCCAGGCCACTCCTATATCTTAGATACAAAGGGCCAAGTGTTCAAAAGATGGTTTAATGACAAACGTAAAAATCTTAACAGTAACTTGACTCCAGAAAACACAGCAGATGCAATTTCAACAGCGTTAGACGCAATTGAATGCTTCAGAACTTGTGAGGTTGCAGCCGATTTGGAGCAGGACTCCTTGAATGATTCAGGCTACTTCTCAGAAATTGAAGTAGAATGTGATCTTTTGGATCTCATTTTGAAAGTGTTTCCACATGGAGAAAAGGGCCACTATGAATGTATGCAGTATTTAGTGACAGATCACATTCCAGAAAGGGTGAAAAAGCCATGGGAGTGTTTTCACAGTAAACTGAAATTCATTCACAAGAATATGCATGATGCCCTCATGAGAATTTCAGAAGATCTGAGCTACTTTCAGACTGACATCAGTTCAGATGGTGATGAAAAATACAACTCTGACCTGAGAATAAGGAATCCAATAAAATGGCTTGCGACAAAAACTACCTGGTATGGAAAATTTTTCAGAGACGTAGAGTTGCCCTCCAAAGATCAAAATCAATTATCAACACGCATGAAAATTTGTTCTCTTGGAGGTGATAATATTACTAGCATCTTTTCTCTTTTGTCTGAAAAGAAACAGGACCAACTAGAATCCATCATTACCATATACGGTGGGCTGAAGAAGCTTGATCAAATGGAACTGGCCAATTACATAGCATCTCAGATAGCCTTAGGGAGTGTTTCAAGTGCATCCACTCCTTCTAAACTCAAGGAGCTTCAAGCGCGCAGCCAGCAGTTCCCTCTGGACAGAGACAGATGTCACCCCAATGCCCTCTTCTTACTCACATTGCTTTTCTGGCCAGAGGATGACGACACCAATCAGGAGAGGGATAACAAATATGAAATCCTTATGTCTGCTGTGGATGTTCTGAAACAAAGCTACAACAACAGAAGGAAAAATGTGCCTCACAAAGAGCTGAGAGTTTTCACTCATTTCTACCTTGGCAAAGGAAAGGGCCTGAGTAAGATTGTGCATAAAAGTATGATGCGGGCCTTTAAAACATTCACAGTGTCACAAAAAAGAATTAAGTGGTTTGATGGATATATCTGGAAAATGCCAGAGATTGTGCTCATGCTGAAACGTGTTCAAGGCTGGACGGCACATGGAAATGTCTATATCAAAGGCTGTAAAGGGAAGGAGATCAAGATACTTGCCCTGAACTCTGATTCAGTACCTGATGGTAATGAGAATGTTGAATTTTACGTGGGATTTACATTTCAAGGACCTGTTGCTTGTGGTATCACTGTCTGTGATGACAAAGAGACACAGGGACCAGGTTAGAAATCATAGTGTAGGAAAATTATATTAATGTTGTGTTTCATCCGTGAAATGTACCACCCACAAACGTTTACATTTGTAATAGTTACATAATGTTTGTATGACTCTTCATTGAATAGCTGTAAATATGTAAATATTGTTTTGCACATACAACCACCCACAGGTTTGTAATTATATATTTGTGGGGACTCCACATTCATTTCTATGGGGAAAACTCTAATCATAACATGGCAACCTTACCCCTAACCAGCCCTAACCTTAACCTTAAGTAAACAAACAAAATACGAGACTTGTGGCATTTTTACTTTTTGATTGCATTGACAGATCTTTGTAGAAAACTGAAAAACCGTCCCTACAATGTAATATGAGCCTAATCTACACACACACATACTCCAGTTGGTCAACTGCTCTTGTTTTAAATATGCTCTATAAATTAAATTGATCTGACATGACTTCTGATAAAATGTAAGAAATAATGTATTAGACATTGTATTGCACTAGCTTTGGTGGTACTCTGACCCATTCAGACCCTCTAGTAGCCTACACCAATCTGTGTTCCCTGAATGCTCTTAGTGTTGCCTTTTGACTGCTCATCTTAATAGGTTCTTCTCTGTTTTTGGAAGATGTCTGTATATGTGTGCTCAACATTAATTACATTTGTAAATGGGCATCCACTGGAAGCTCAGCCAAGCTGCACTTATGCCTAATCAACTGCTTGACAGAAGCTTGTTTGTAATGTGCTATTTGTCTAACTTGTATGTCACTTTGTACAAAAGCTTTCGTAAATAAGTAAATGTCGATGCAATCTGTCTGATATTTGAAACCTTGTTCTTTCTGCTGTCTGTGTGCTTCAAATTAAAAATAAAACAATCACAATGTTGAAACTTCATATGAAAGTTCCAAGATTCAGCCGTATTTTTAAACTTATAATCCACACATAAATGAAATTGAACAAAAAGACCCTAGAATATTCACAAATGATTGTATAAGCAACTTATTAGAAATGAGTCAAATAAAGTCTAATATGTGGATTTGATGTAAGCACTCATTACCTGAAAAAATAAATATTCATGACTTTTAATTTATTTATATAAATTACAAAACTTAGTTAACCAGAAGAAAGTAAAGCAGTATTTGCTAATCCCACCCCAGGGTAGAAGGCATCACCTAATGGGTTGATCGGCACTGGTGTAGGAAGAACTTTAACTTTTCTCATTCATGATACTCATGGATACTCTCAGAGACAGAACTCACAATTGTATTGAATCTTGTGCACATTCAGAATATTAACCACGTCTTGCCGCACTTACACATGTGAATAACATGCAAAACAGCTGGCTATAGCAGTTTATATCAGAGACAGATGCACAGACAGGAAGAGACAGATGCACAGACAGGAAGAGACGGATGCACAGACAGGAAGAGACGGATGCACAGACAGGAAGAGACGGATGCACAGACAGGAAGAGACGGATGCACAGACAGGAAGAGACAGACAGCCTTTTCTTATTAGAGAGAGGTGTGTCAGTTTCAGATTTCTTCTCCCTGTTAGAGTTGCTTTATGCTCACTAGATCAGATGACCTCTGGATGTCCAGTGTGAGACCTTAGAAGTATAAGAACAACTACAAAAGGTATGAAAGTAGAGAGCTGACATAGGTTAGCAGTCAAGAAATTTAAATTCACCCAAGGAATGCTCAGTAGGCATAACCAGAGTGAAATGCTTTCTCCTAGGCTATGGAGTTATTCACTGTCAGGTACAGTAGCTGAACTCCATTATATCTGTGTAGAGAAAGAGTTACGTTCAGTCCAAATTTATGTGGGACTGGATACACACCATTTTCCAACCCATGCATTGGTTTTCTCTGAAGGAACCAGTAAAATTGGTTAATCATTTAAAGATGGCTAACAAACAGCCTTTGTGTAATGCTCTGTACCTACTCTGGAAAGGATAATGGGTGTGTTAGGAGGCCTAGAGGCAATTCTACTGCAAGGAGATGTACTGTAGGTCAACACAGATTGGTTGTTTACATTAGCTGAGAATTCCCGTGCCTGACATGAACACCATGTATGAAAAATAAATTAAAATTTGGTGAAAGATCACCAGTATTGCTCACAGCTTGGTGAAATGCTATTATCACCAGATGGGTTCTGGATATTTTACTTGCAGACTTATGATGCATGTTCTACAGACAGTGAGTTTGGTTGCCCTGCAAACTTTATATAACGACTTATCACAGACCACATTCCACATCCTGTGTCTGACAGCAGACCTCATGCTAATGCATTGGAAATACTGTCTGTAGGATATAAGAAAAAATTGTTCTAAATGATGTTCAACAGCTCAAACATGTATTGCCTACAACCTGCGCAAAAAATGTAAAAAACCATAAATGAATAATGGAGAATGAACAACATTATTTGCCTGGTAGCTGTACTGCTCTGCCTTTGGCAATGCATCACAAATTTAGGCCACGTGCATAAAACCACAGCGAGAGGTGCCAGCCTTTGTGTTTATGTAAATGTTTCATTGTTTCAGATATATGTTTGTTGTTTATGGGTATTTTGATTGCAGGAGCACCCTGAAATGAGTCCAGGGAAACAATGTGAACGTGAATACGATCACAGTATTTTCTGAATTGCTGAAGCACATTTCCTGAAACCTTTTATCCTTTTCTGAAAACAAACACAAAATTCAATTTTCAAACTACATCCACAAAAACATTGACTTATCTTACAAAATCAATTAACTATTTTCTTTGCTCAATACTAAATACTGCTTTCAGTTCACAAATAAAGCCACTAAAAACATGAACACTACTGAACTGAACAATAAACACTACACCTAAAATGAAAAATACTGGTGTGCATTTTCATTTCAAAAAGTCCTTTGCATTTTTACATACAGTATATAGGAAATGTATGTATTTAAAGAATTGGAAACCAGCAGCCAAAAGAAAAAAAAACTACATCATATTTAAGCAATGTCTACTCAAAATATAGTAACACAGTTTACATACTGTATACAATACAGTAGCCTGCGGTAGGGTACATGTGCGTCTGTCTGCAGTAGTTATGGCAAAATATCCAGTAATAAAAGCCCAAGGACAAACCGAAAATCTAAAGGAAAAGCACATTACTGTACTGACAGAGCTGTGCAACTGTAAAGTCATTCATTCTGCCTGAGCAACACGACTCTGGACAGGGTCTGGCTACAGGATTTCATGTTCTCTCTTCCTAGGATCACAATCCTGTGGTGGGCCAAATCCAGCCTTGACAGGATTTCACACCTACATCACCACCGGCCAAATCCATTCCTGAGTATAGAGCTTTCGGTCATAGACTTTGCACTGCATGCTGGGGAAAAATCTTCTGTGGGGTTTAGAAAGGGGCGAGTATGGTGGAAGGCAAACATGTATAAAATGCTGGTTATCATTGCTGTGGGCCACTTACATATACGTGCATTATGGTGGAAGCTTACATTGTCCTAAATGACAACATACACAGAATGCACTGCCTACTCATGGGTCTCGATAAAAACATTGTGTAGACCATCCAGAAATGTGAGTAGATGTTCAATGCTGTATGGCCCCATGGCCAGCCCACCTTGTAGCCTATCACCTGGGCACCATTTGGTTAGGGGGTGCAAAAGAGCGAATGTGTGTGCTCTGACATCACAGTTATTTACACTGTTGAAATAACAGTTTACGAGACAGTCACAGAGCCCATTAAACATCAGAATAATGCATCATTTTCAATCAATGAATTGTCAAGATTGACAAGAAAATGAAACAGTGAAAAGGATCTGGAATTCAGGGACTAAAACACTGAAAAGAAAAGGAAAAAGTCAATGCAGAGTTATTTTGTTATTGCAGCTCATTAGTTGGATTGTTCCAAACTCAAAGAATCCAACCAACTGCTTTTAGCTGGCCAGGAACTTCCAAAATGGCACATTGACCAATTACATTACAATCTTTCCTTATTTTCACCAGACTGAACCCAGCTTCATGCATGAAGATGTATTAATCAGGCCTTTCCATGGACTCCAATTTACAGATTCTCTGTACATACATAGTTTGATAAAGCAGGTGATGTGTGGACAGAAAAGACTAGAAAATGACATTGCTCAACCCTATACTCTGCAGATACATGCACCCCAGCAGACTGTATCTGAAATTAAATAATGACTGTGATATTACTATCATATGTTATGTGACATCATATGTGAACAATTTTAAGCCATTGTGAGTTAATGGTGACAAAACCGTGGTAGTTGTGTTTGACCTTTGCAGCCTGTTTGCCATTTTGCATCAACGTTCACCACGGTGCCAAATAGGGTTGCCATCTGTCCAGGGTTTTTCTGGACCACCACGGATTTTGGTTGTCTGTCCTACATAAACAAATGTGGTTCCGTGACAGAATGCCTCAGAATCTGAGCCTTATGTGCATTAACACTCTGAAACACAGTCAGAGTTATAGCAGATTAATAGTAAGAGGCAATACTGTGTCTTTTTAGCCAATGAAATACACTCAAAGAATGTATACTGTGTCTTTAGCCAATCAAACAATTTTACATACATGCTGCATAGTTGTTGATGACCGCAGTATCGCACATTGCCGCCATGTTCAAAGGTTAGGTCAGTAAAAACAACTGCAGTTACATTAAATGGGTGGTGAAACAGACAAGGAAGACATGTTACAACTAATAGAATAAGCTATTAAATTATAGAGTAAATGATCAGTTATCAATATATTCAAAATATTAGACATTACACTACCATGTAAGATTATAGTTTCTAAACAAATCTTTGGAATGGTGTCGCTATGTGCAATATTTTTGGTGGATATTCAGAATTGTATAGTACTGAGGTGGCAACCCTAATACCAAATGTGTTTCTGAAAGAGAATGTGTTTAAAGCTGGCTTCGCTAAAACGATGTATCAGAAAATTGTGTCCGACTAGGGAACATTGTTTAAAGTTCCGAGAATGTATTTTAGTCAGTGGCCGAGCTGTAAAAATATTTCAATAGGATAGCGGAGGTGCGGCGAGAATATTTATCCCCAGTTTGTTGGGGCGATTATGCGGACCGGATTAAATTGTGTTTCGTTTGGAGTCTGCAAGCTGAGTACTCCTGATACAGAGTGCGTTTCCCAAAAGCATATTCGATAATAACCTCAGCATCTTACATAATTGGAACCATGCAACTAAACAGCTCTAGCGGTGTATGTTGCTAACGGTATATTTGGGAAACGTGCCCATAGTCGGCAGTGATAAATACACAGAGCAGTTTACAGGGGTGGTTGTTATTATTTTTTTCCCAGAGGACGGATGGTATCCACGTGATTCCTATGACAACTCGAGCCTTGGGTTTATTGTATTAGCAAAATACAGAAAAACTGTAATCGCACTAAAGCTTCCGCCTATTTGCAACATATCGGCCATCATCCCGGAAGTTTACGGCGTTTCTTAGCAACACATGGACGCCTGGCAAACGAAGGTAATATCCAAGCTTTTTGGTTTCATGGCTATTTATAAAGTAATTTTAGCTAATCAGTCATTAAAATCAAATGTGTGAGTGGCTAGCTACGTTAATGGATAAATCATCTTATACTCAACGATTATGCCGCGGAGTGATAGAACTGCACCAAAAATAGAAGACAAACTCCGCACTGAAATAATTGATTACTTTTTTGTATTGCTTTGTATTGATTCAAGTTCTGCAGTTTTACTCGGTAAAAAATAGCTTTATAGTGGTTTGCTTTTTATTATCATTATCTTGCTTTTTAAATTAGATCAAACCAAACCTATATATTAAAATAACCTTTTTGTGTCACCTTGGTCAGATTAGGCACCTGGTCTGGGGTAGGAGGTGTTAAATTATGCTGTCATATTGGCTGCAGTATATTGGATTTGACAACAAATAAATGATCTGGGTTCCAGCCGACAATGGAAGTAGATGGAGAAAAAGAAAGAGAGATGGAGGCGATTTCATCCCAGAATGACAAGGACAGTGAACTGGCTTGTGATCGGGGGGAGACAGCAGACGGCTCTGGGGTATCAGTGCCCCTCCTGCATGAGGTAAGGAGGAAGGGGGGATCGGGGAAGAGGATTCACTGTTTGTTTCAATCAGTTTACATTATTGAATTGCAAGGTGCTATTATTTTACGATGTTTACATGCTGTAGCCTTACAGGTTGTGAGATGTACTGTGTTGTACTTGACAGGATGGACCAGAGGAAGAATCGGAGATGGAAGGGACAGGAATCAACAGTACAAACCTCTCCCCCCATTGTGACACCAATGGCACAGGGGCCATACTAATCACACCCAGTTACTCAGGTCAGCACTGGTTAACCCTCCCTCTGTGTTATATACAAGCACTGGGTTACCAGCTATTGCCTGTTACCTTAATTGCGCATGGATGCTTAGGCATATAATACGTTTAAAAAGTAAGTCTAACACTAGGTGATATACTGACTGCAGGAAAGTGGTCCCACAAGCCTGTTGAGGGAAATACAGCCTCACCGCAGGTTACAATGAGGCTATGTTCAGATAAACCTATCATAAGGCGAAAATGCTTGTTTAATACAGCACACCGAAGCTAACACACATCATAGCCTAGCCAAGCCTATTTTATAATAAAGTACTAAATATCTCATGTAATTTATTGAATAATGTCCTGAAAGTGATAAACAGAACTGAATTGGAATATCCAACGTAAAGTCGAAATATCGTAACACGGACCGTCGTATCCCGTCTGTAATTTAAACTGTTGCTGATTGACTGATTATAGTCCATTGGTACATGACTGATGCATCTCTCAGGAGGCACGACAGACGTCCCAGTCGCACCTGAGGCCTCTTTGCACCTGACCATCCCCGTCTCTGCCAGTGAGCGGGAGGAGCCTAATGGGGGTGAGGAAGAGGAGCACGAGGAGCTGGTTGTTCTGGACCCTGAGCATGTCAGTAACCGCTCTTCCACTCTGATTTATTTTTTGATTCACCCCGAAGGAGAAGTTAAACCAGAAAGCAGTGTGACCACCTGATTGCCTCATATGTGTCTGTTTGCAGCCTCTAATGAGGAGATTCCAGTCAGCTCTGAAGAACCACCTAAAAAAGCAACTAGACAGGCTGAACATGGAGATCCGTGAACAGGTTAGATCGTCCCCTTCTTTTTGTTTGCTCTTTATCTGTTACGAGACCAAGGGCAGCAGCGATGCCCCTCAAAGTGAGATCGATGCTAGATAAACAGCTGACATGGCCCTCACCACTCACAGCTAGCTGAAGTAGCTACATTTTGGGATATGGAAAGGAACGTGTAAATACCCAGGAAGGCATGCAAATACCTCCCACACAACCACAGTCAGAATCCAAAACCGTGGAGGTGTGAGGTCACAGTGCTCCCCACTGAGCTGCACTAAGGAGTTTATGTTCATATATAGGACAAGTGGGTAGAGAAGATGGATGGATGGCTATACAGTCACCCCTTCACATTGGTGAGGGTTACAGGTGGAAGATCCCAACGAATGAGGAAAATTTGCGAATAATACTTGGGCCCATTATTAAAAATGTAAAATTAATGACACTGAAAACTTTAGAAGTTACTGTGAGAAACGTGAGATTCCACTGTCACAGAGGCACATATGTGAGTGAGACGTGTCGTCGAGACAAAGATGCTTGGCCAAGCCAAGATGTGTAGGTTCTTTTTTTGTTATTACCAAAATTAAGTTTTGATATTAAAGATCTCGTATGCACGTACACTAACAAATATTAAATAACACTGATACTTATCACATTTACAGTATATCATTTTTTGTGATCCAAATTAGTTTCAGTATTGTTTATATATTTTTGACTTGCACGCAGTCCAAAAATATTCCCATTTAATTGTTCATGGCCAACTCGCAAATAATCAAAACTGCGAATGTTAAATTTACAAATCTGGAGGAGCAACTGTATATGTAAAAATTACATGACGAATGTGTCTCATTGTCCTGTTGAAAACCCCTGTGGCCCTGTTACCGCACATTCGTTGCTGCGTGCCCTTTCTCCCAGAAGTCAGCCTCTGGCTGTGTCTTTCCCAGCTGGCCATGGAGCACGCGGAGTGCACCCGCCGGGAGGAGCTGGGTGTGGAACTGTACTCTGTGCAGCTGCAGCTGGCCCAGCTGCAGGCCGCCCTGGAGGGTCGTCACGAGGCCAACGCGCAGGCGGCCAAGCAGCGTCTGCGCGCGCAGGAGCAGCTTGAGGGAGTCCGCAGCCAGTACCATGCTGCTGTTAACAAGACTGGCCAGCAGAGGGTGCAGGGTGAGGCGGCACAGAGGGAGTGACGTAAGGCTGTTAAAACAGCGAAATAGCATGGAAGCCCGTGTCCGCCACCTAGAGGAGAGAAAAAAACACTTCTCTGAATTCTGAAATCAAAATTCTGAGATACTTAGTCAGAACTGTGACTTAATAAGTCAGAATTCTAAGGTAATAAGTCAGAGACCCAATTTAATAAGTCAGAATCTTTTTATTACTTCATACGGCAGAAGTAGGCTTCCATAAAATACAGCAAACCCACGAGTGTAGAAGCCCAGTACATAATTATTTATTTTCATCAGTCAACCCGTAATTAATTAGTGGATCAGTTTGATTACTGTAACCTGACTGTACAAGCAAGTTCTACTAAAGTGCACAGCAAATTTTATTGCCAAGTTTTCAAAATGCTGGAATAGAGTTGCCTTTGAAAATACCCGCATACCACAGTGAAAATGTCTGGACAGTGTGAAAGGATAGATATGCAGGTACCTCCACACCTCCTCATGTAGTGCTCAGCATAACTACAACAACAGCTATTCGTCTTCATTGTATACACCAGTATAATGACAATAAATAAAAATGGTAACTCTTTACCTGAAAGGGCACAAATAGTGTAGTACACTCTTACTTAATGTATTAATTAACCAGAAACTAAGCGTTGGTTACATACTGATCCCATGTTCTGTCATCATTAATCAATCATGTATTTCATGCAGTAACTATATTTGTTCATGATTTGTTCTTGAGTAGTAACTGAGTCACTAAGTTACTTGTGCCCCCTCAAGTAAACTGTTACCAAAAAAACTATTAATTAAATTCTATTGTATTCTAATTTTTTTCATTGAGCTCTGCTCTGTCAAAGGCAGTGCAGCCACCTATTCGAAACACCTAGTCATTTTTCTTGCATATGTGCAGTTGACACCCCTGATGGTGAAATTTACATTACTCAGCCTGTGCGCGCACCATGAACGCATGCGGAAAAGTAAAGTATGGATTGGCTTTGAGACGCTGGACGTCGTTGAGAGGCAGCACTGTTAGGTAGCCTCAATGGTGCAGAGATGAGGAAGATGGCCACAGGAAGGGCCAAAACACAAGAGGGGGCCAAAACATTGGGAGGGAGGGAGGCCACAATGCGACAGCAGCCTTGTCACATGTTAAAGAGAAAGTGAAGTTCAGCTTCACTGTTACAGCGCAAACAACACTTCAGAAACCATGAAAAAATTCATCCTGGGCAACCTTTGTCCACAGTGTCTCAGCTGCAGACCGAGGTAGAGAACCTGGCCCTGCGCCTGTTCTACATGCAGGAAGTCAGCGAGGGCGTGCGATCTGACCTCACCACCATGAAGAACGCCTCCCGCAAGGCCCAGTCTGAGAAGCTGCAAGCGGAGGAGGAGAAGCAGAAGCAGGTAGGGCCGGCACTCACCGCCGTTCCCATGACGGCTTGGTTGGCCTTGGCCCTTGTTTCTTTCTGACAGGATTTGGGTGACTGAAATCTTTCCGGTTTGCTTCTGTTTCCTCAGGACCTGTATGTGGAGCGGCTGACCAAGCAGGTGGAGAAGCTGACCGAGCAGATTGCGCTGTATGAATTCCAGATCAGCACCCAGTCCAAGGAGACCCAGGCCGCCAAGCAGGTCCTTGTGGAGGTCCGTTTGCTTACCTCTGCCTGTTGGAGGTCGCCGCTCTTCTCCGGAACCACAGATTAGCCTTTGAAGCCCATGAACACCCCAAGGCCTTGTGCCAGGACCTCACATGCCCTGTGTCACCCAGGCCCAGATGGAGATCGACTCCCTAGAGGTGGAGCGAAAGCAGCTCCTGCAGCAGTGGAACAGCAGCCTGTTGGGGATGCAGCGGCGAGACGAGGCCTTCGCCGCCAAGCAGGGGGAGCTGCGGTGAGGGTGGATCCCGGCATCTGCAAAGCGTGTGATGACTGCAGATTACCCAGAACTCCCTGAGACAGCAGGTTTCAGGGTCAGTGCGCGTCATGCGTCGCTGTCCGTCCCGCCCCAGGATGACTCGTCACCACATGCAGTCACTGGACACAGAGATCGAGGGCTTCAAGAAATCCATCACGCAGGAGGAAGAGCGCAACGAGCTGCTGACGGCGCTGCTGAGCCGCACGCAGATGGGCCAGACCACCACCCGCCGACTCATCGGCAACAGCCAGGCCCAGCAGGAGGCGCTGCAGGCCCAGTATAGCACCTATGCACGCACACTGCAGGAGACTGAGCAGACTCTGTCTCGCCACGCAGCGGTGAAGTTCCCCCTGTTAACCTTTTACAACCAGAGTATTGTACATGTAGATTATGGTCAACCTGGTTTTTGCATCTTCTGCTTCTCTGTGAAGAAACTCAACTTCCTTGAGCTCTGTTTCCTAATTAATATAAAACATGTTACTTAACCCTGGGAGCCCCCCCCCCCCCCCACCCCCGGACATGTCCCCCGATGCCAACTTGTCTTGAACGCGCCCCGTCCCCATTTCTACAGGAATGTGCCGCGCGTCAAACTGATGCCGCCTCCCTCCGAAAGGAGGTCGAGAAGGAGTCAGCAATTCGGCAGGAGCTGGAGGAGAAGATCATGGCCAAGATGCAGGAGCAGCAGTTACATGGAAACGCTGCCAAGTTCTCCCACGGGCTGATTGAGAAAATGGCCGCCCACCGGAGGGAGAAGGTGGGTGTTTAGGGAGGAGGTCTTCAAGGTGTCCCGGCACGTGTCTTCAAGGAGAAGTTGGAAGATGGAACACATCCACGTGATATGTGATCGGAGGAAGGGCTTCATTTGGGGGATGACTTTTACAGCGTGGGGCTTTTAGCACGTATATGTGATCCTTTTCGCAACCGTGCATGCGCATGTGTGCACCTGTGCATCCGAAGGAGGCACAGCTGGCGCAGCTGGAGAACGAGGCGGCGCAGGCGGGGCTGGAGGGCGGCGAGACGGCGCTGCGCTTGGAGTCGCTGGGACGCCACCTCGGCGAGCTGCGGCAGGAGAACGCCCGTCGGCACGAGCTGCTGTCCCGCGGCGAGGCCGAATTCCACAGATGCGCTGCTGTGATCGCCCGCAAGCAATCAGCCATCAATGTATACAATAAGAAAATCGAGCAGATGGTCTTCAGCACTGGGGTCAGTATCACAGGGTCGCTAATGAAGAACTGGGCTGTAAAGAATGCTGGATGGCGGCACATTGGGTAGCATTGTTGCCACACGCATCCAGTGTTAGGGGCTTGTTCTGTATGTCTAGCATTTGCGTGATTTGTAGCTTATCAAGTAACAGCACAAAGGTTATGTGTTCAAATCCCAGGGAGCATGAGTGAATTGTATCCCTTCCCTGTACTGTAAGTAGTTTTGGATAAAATTATCAAACAGATTAGTTAATGTAATGCTGCAGCAACACCCATGATATCCCTGTGGCCTGTGATGAACCGGCCTCCTTTCCTGGGTTTCTCTGTTTTGTTCCCCATCCTGCCTGGGATGAGCTCCAGGCCCCCTGTGACTCTGCACTAGATTAGCTGTTGGAAGATGGATGGACAGATGGAATATTTATTAAGGCCACTGCTGCCTTTTCTGGCTATATACTCTGTGTGTGTGTGTGTCTGTGTGTGTGTGCTCGTGCAGCCGCCTGTCCCATTTGGTGCGTCTCTGTGTGTGCAAGCAGCATGCTGACCTGGGGCCTCTGGAGATCCGCGTCAGCACTCTGACGAAGCAGCTGGAGGAAGCAGCAGCCGAGATCGTGGAGCAGCAGCAGTTCTGGCTTCGGCACCAGGGGGAGCTAGTGAGGCTCACTCAGGAGAAGCAGGCACAAAGCGCCGCCCTGCTGGCCCAACAGACTCGGCTCACCATCCTGCAGCAGAGGAAAGTGCGCACGGAGGGTACGTGTCATGGAAACACTCGCATCTGTCTAGCAGAGTTTGTTCTGCTCAGAGCCCAAATGTTCACCTTCACTCTGGGAACACAGGGGGACCGCAGGTGAAGCGGTGGAAGCGTTAAACAGCTGATGCTGCTGTTTCTGTTGCAGCTTCTAATTCCGGGTATCTTTCTGGGCTCCTCACAGGGGAGATCCAGCAGGAGCAGCGGGAGCAGGCAGAGCTGGAGCGCCACATAAAGGGGCTGTTGGCCGACACCGTGAAGCTCAACACTCTGCTGAGCAGGAACAGCCAGCTGCGGCAGGCGCTGGAGCAGGGCAACGCGCTGATGGAGAGCGGCTTCCTGCAGAAGCTCAAGGTCCGCCTCCGCCGACGCCTTTCCGGGCAGGGTGGCCGAACGGCTCCCAGGTGACGTGTGCCCTGTGCTCATCTGCAGGAGGCTGAGAGGGAATCTGTCCGGATGCAAATGAAGCTGGAGGAGGTCCAGGAGAACAAGGAGAGGTTGATCAGCAGACTGGTAGAGGCAGAGTAGGTCAATGAGACCCTGACTCAGAGAAGGTCAACGGGAGCTTATCATAGAACAAGACACTGAGACCCTATCGTGGAGTGAGACATTGAGACCCTATCGATGAGTGAGATCCTAACACAGTGACACCCTCTGAACACAGAGACACTGAGACTGTATCGTTGAGTGAGATATTGAGAGCCAATTGTAGAGTGAGATATTGAAAATCCAACAAAGAGTGAGACCCTCAGAGCATAACACAGGGTCACTGAGAGCCCAACACATAGTGAGACACTGAGAGTCCAACACGGAGTGAGACACTGAGAGCCCAACACAGAGTGAGACACTGAGAGCCCAACACAGAGTGAGACACTGGGAGTCCAACATGGAGTGAGACACTGGGATTTAGCACAGCATCCTCCGGTGGGCCTTTTGGGCCACAGTTCATGGTGTCTTTACATCCCTATCAGCTTCACCTCTGAGAGCAGGTGCCAAATTAGTGTGAGAGTGAGACGCCTAGAATTTCATGCAGATAGTACACCCCGAGGGCTGCTGCCCCGAGATCACACTGACAACTGACACAGCTGGCTGAAGTGATGTGCTTGTTATAGCTTTTATTTCTGCCAGTCAGGGTGATCCTGTTACCATCCTCGAGGGGTTAGCCCACAAGTTTTTGTTCCAGTTGGGCACTGATCCACCTGATTCAACTAAATCCATTCATCCACCGTTCTGAGCTCTTAAGGCTGTAATGGGAGTCATGGAACGTACCGGATTCAGCCCTTCAGGACCATAACTGAATATCCCCGGTGAAGATGTACCCAAAACCTAAACTCGCTGTGTTGGTTTCAGGCGGCACGTCATGTTGTGGGAGAAGAAGATACAGCTGGCCAAGGAGACCCGATTAGCCGTGGACTCCGAGGTCGGCCAGGGGGAGATCCGGCAGATGAAGGCTGAGATCCACCGCATGGAGGTAAGCCTTTGGGATGTCGCTGTGATGGCCTGCCTCATTCATCATACGCCTGCAAGCCCACGTCGATCTACACATTTTGAACTGCCAGTAGTGTGCGATAGTGCGAGACGCTGAGTTTCACTGTTTGTTTATGTGTGTGTTCTGTGATAGACTGGCATTCCATCCAGGGTTTCCCCTGCCTTGTGCCATCTGCTGCCAAAGATATGCTCCAACCCTATAATGCATAAGAGGATGGAGGATAGATGGCTGAAGTACATCAGAGCCCATTACATTCACTTATATAGCTTACATGGCATTAAAGATATGCTGCTGCAGATGTGTGGGAGTGCATGTTTTGCACATTTAATGAAGTAGCTTTTGGAAGTACATGTCGAGCGATTTCACTTAATCGGCCAATTTAATTTATAAACAGTGGTAGCTGTGGAGCAGTGAGACATGGTAAGGGGGGGGTGTATAAAACAAGGTCAGGCTCTTAGTGTGGCAGCGGAACAGCTTTGTTAACATGAATCACTCTTGGTATTGTGTTTATAGGCATGAACCACAAGCCGAATGACCAACGGCCTCCTCTCTTTGTAAAACTTTCTTTGCTTTCTTACCACGTCAGTGATTGTGTGTGTGTGTGTGTATATGTGTGTGTGTGAGTGGGTCTTATATATATTAGATTGTGGGGACCACATGTCCCCACAATGTGATAATAACCTGTTATTTTGCATTGTGGGGACTATTTTTCCGGCCTCCACAAGGGAAAATTCAATTATGTAAAGATCTGTGACTGCAATCAAAAAATGAAAAATGTTTGGTTACTTATGAATAAAGTTAGGGCCGGATAGGGGTAAAGGTCGTCATGTTGGGGGTGGGGACATGTCCCTAGAAATGAATGGACGGGTATGAATACTAACACATGTGTGTGCGCGTGCAGGTGCGCTGCGCCCATCTGATGAAGCAGCAGGAGCGGCTCCTGCGCGACATGGAGGCGGCGGTGGCCCAGCGGGAGGCGGTGGCGGGGCGAGCCGCAGCGCGGGCCAAGGCGCGCGCCGGGCAGCCCACCCAGACGGAGTTCCAGGGCTTCCTGCAAGGCCTGCGCAGGAAGATCCAGGACACACAGAAGGTTTGGGAGGCTGCGGTCATCTTGTGCAGACCACAGACTGGTCATCTGGCATCTTCCCAGTGGGCCGATAGGGCTATGGGCCAGCATAGTTCATTGCTGGTGACCATCTCCCACCCAGGAAAAATTTATTGTGGGGGGGCCCCCAATCGACAAATTTTATTGTAAGTATGTATGTGTGGTGGGCATTTATGTGCAAAAGTCCAGGACCGATTTTCAGTCTGAGTCCAGGCCAAGTCTAGATTCTCCAGCTCATAAAAATTATTAGACAGGCAGGTAGGAAGGTAGATAGATGGATAGACAGACAGACAGACTTTGTTGACCTTCAAGGGAAAATTAAATATTAACTTTGCTCTGATTTTAAAAGCCAGATACTTGTTTTAATAGCTATACATTAGTACAGGGGTCTCAAACTCCAGTCCTGGGGGGGGCGAACCCTGTGTAGCTTAGTTCTTTCCCTGTTCCACCACGAATGATTCTGCTCAAGAGCTGTGTTGTAATTAACATAAGGAGTTGAATCAGGTGTGTTAAACAAGGATAAACCAAAAACTACGCAGACCTCCGGCCCCCCAGGACTGCAGTTTGACACCCCTGCATTAGTACATCTTACACAGACCTACCAGCGGATATCTGATTTAGGTAAGTGAGGGTGTTACCTACAGCATGTGCCCCTGTGTGTTCCCAGCAAACGGCAGAGAGCGACGGCATCATTAACAGTCTACAGGAAACCCAGGCGAACCTGGGAGCCAGTTTCAGGGAGAAGCAGCAGCACCTAAGCCAGCTGCAGGACACCGGCGCCGCCCTGGCTGCAGACCTGCGCAGGCTGCAGGACACCAAGGAGCAGGTGGGCAGGCCGTGCCAGCAGTCACCCCCGGCTGCTGCTGTGCGCTGCGATCTCAGATGCGTGTCCCACTCGGCATCCAATGTCTGGTCCAATATCTACTGACCACATTCATGTCATCTGAACCTTGCGCCTCGGCCTCACTCAAAACAAATTATGTGCTGCAGAACCTGGCGAGGCTGGTGACACTGCAGGGCCGCGCCAAGCAGCTGCGGGCGGTGCAGGAGGGTCGCTACACCCGCCTGTCTGCCAGCGAGGAGGCACTAGAGCCAGCCATACAGCGGCAGGAGGAGCGACTCCACACCATCAGCACCATCCTGCACCGCGTCCGCCAGGAGCTCCCCCAGCACCAGGGGACGCTGCACCGCCTCTCCCTGGTCTTGAGCTTCCAGCTACAGGGAGCGCAGGAGTCTGCGTGAGGACCCCGCCAGGGATGACTATCAACTGCCTGCACACTGTTCTGCAAACTGCTGTTCATTATAGTAACAGCGGGGTAGTAACAGCATCACTGTGACTATCAGGGACTTTGATTTCATTTTAGAATTTAAAAAACGTCCCCAGGGACACTGACAAAGTCATCAGACTCATGGAGCTCTTTATCCAATACCCAGAAAGCTATAACGTGACTCCGTCTTTCCATGTGACTTTTGCAGTCACCAGGACTATTTTTAGCAACGAGTAGACTTTCATTTTTGAGGTGTGACGTCATCTGCAGCTCTGAGAGTAATCAGATACGTATCTCTGTGGTTGTTTGTGTACAGTGCTGCTTTTACCCGATGCACTGACAGCTGATATACGAACACGTTTCTCTTGTGCAAACTCTCTCGCTTTTTTTATCGCTGTTATATTGCTTTCCGTCTTGTTTAATGGAAAAACTCTGGACAGCAAAAATTCATTTAAAGGCATTGATTTTGCATTGATTTGGATTTTTGGTTTCCTTTGGTTTTTTTTTCGTGCAGCTGAACTCTTCGTTTAATTTTTATACTCATGTAAATGGTTGGATGGGACCATATTTGAAGGAGTTTATGCTCCATATGATAAGAGTACTTGTACCTTACTCTATTGATAATAATACTTGTTGAACTGTTTTGCATTGCTGAGTTCTATGTTACCCTGTCTTTCTCTATTAATTATTAAAATGTGTTATTCTGCAGTGCTATAAAGGCCAGTGGTATTACTGCAGATGCTCTAAAAGCCATCTTCCATTAATCGTCATTTACTCTGGAACCACTGAATGAGATTATTTAAAATCCACTTACAATCTCTTATAATTAAGAATCGGGATTGAATACAAACCCTGAATATTGCATGACCCATTAGATGACACCAGTTTGCCACTTGCTTGTCACAGCATTAAAATGATCCTTGACAAGCTCACAGCGCATTCCCAGTGTCCCAGTGTCCCAGGTTACCAGGCATCCACCATTATCAACATCCCTATCGGAAATCCCTAACTTATCTCAGGCTTCTAGAACAGCGTTTCCCAACCCGGTCCTCAGGGGCTTCCAAACAGTCCACGTTTTTGCTCCCTCCCAGCTCCCTGCCAGACGGTCCACATTTCTGCTCCCTACTGGGAGCTGGGAGATAGCAGTCAGCCTGCTTATAATATTAACTATCCACAGTGATCACCCTCAGTCCCTAGCCATTCATCCATTCATTCATTTTGATCAGCTGCCTGCCCAATATGGTCAGCTTGGAGCCTATTGCATGAAGCATATGATATGAGGCATGGGGCACTCTGAAGAGGATGCTAGTGAACTGGTGAAGCACACACTATGGGCAATTTAAAGAGACCTATTCACTTAGATGCATGCTTTGGGCTACAGGAAGAAACCAGAGTACCTGAAGGAAACCGCTGCAACACAGGGAGAATGTGGAAGCTGCACACACGCGTGCACACACACACACTGGTTTTTAATTATGTCTTTGTGGGGACTCTCCAAGTATTTCTGTGGGCAACACTCTAATCCCAGCAATGGCAACCTTAACCCCTACCTAGCCCTAACCCTAACCATAAGTAATCAAAAAAAATTACAAGACTTTTGGCATTTTTCGTGTTTTGATTGTATTCACATATCTTGGTGGGGACCTGAAAAATGGTCCCCACAAAGTCAAAGTAACAGGGTTTTATCACATTGTGTGGAACACTTGGTAATATAAACATAATCCACACAGAGAGAACTGGGAATGAGGCTCAGAATCATGGAGATGTATGGTAACACTGTTACTCACGACGGTACCTCTGCCCACCAACTGGAATATTTTCTCTTTTTATTCGTTTTGTCCCGAAAATATTATCGTAAGACTTTCTGATGAATACAGCATTTTAAAATGCATCCGAATCTTATACTCATTCCCCAATGCCGGACTTTTTGTATTTTTGGTGCCCTGATTTCTTTTGCCTTTGGCTATTTTAAGCTGCCGGTATCCCTGATTTCTGCCATTATCTGATACACGGCCGTGCAATCATAGAAAACTGGCAATTTCATTTGAAATATAAAGAAGCTGATTGAGTTACAGCAGCCCCGGGACCTAGACTGTAGGGCATCTTGGAATGGTATTCCGGTTTTGGTGACATAACCTGCAGAGTCACCACGTCATTACCGCACATTGCACCTTTCTGCCATGGCACGATCCCACATTCACTGTCCTTTGCGGAAGGTGGAAAGATGACCAAGATATTTCCTGACAGTGACCTTGAACAAGAATTTACCTACAGTAACATACCTTGGCCATAAACAAACGTGAGTTACTGTACTACATTTTATGGTGTGATGTTCAAGCTAAAACAAAAAAAGGAAATCGTTGGGATAGTTTTCGTAAGTGTTATAATTGCCCGTAAATGACAACACACAACAGTGCGTATTATGGAGACAAATTCTTGTCACAGCATAGATGACAAAGTTACGCACATCAGCTGCGATTATTTCCCCCCCCCCAGGGAGATGGGCGTTGGGTGATGAACTCTGTGGATGGATACGCCTCAGTGAATTTTTCAGTTGCACGTTGTATGTGGTAATATGACTAGACTGTGTAGCAATACAGGCACACAAGTCCACTGAGGAGCTTGATGCAGTTTAATCACTCTAATAATTATCCATGGCGGGAAAAAAATCATGGAAGTGTGACACTACAAACTTAGTTATATACCCTACTTGACTGCCAGGTTTGGTACACTGCCCCCTGCTGGGCAAAGTCGTCAAGAATGTTGGTTGGTGGGTATACCTGAAGGGGGAAGGGTTGGGCCCCAATAAATCCGTTCGGCCTTTGTTGCCCCCGAGTTGGCGGTACCACATGTGGGTCTTCATCCAACGTTGGTAGCTTTGCAGCATTTTGGCCAGAGGGTATCTCATAGTAAAAGACAAATCGTCTTACGATATTAGTATTATACCGCCGGAAACCGTTTAAATAGCCCCTGTATGTAATTTTTATTGTGAATACTTGTGTTCCCGATTGTTATATGTGCCCTTGTCCTGTTGCATGAGATTCTCGCACGTCTTTAGCCATGTGAATTACCCGCCTTGTGTGTCACTCACTGTTCAGCGTCCGACCTCCCTGCCTTCCGGCACCATGTAATGTCAGAATGTAGTTATTGCTATATTAAAGAATAGCTCTGTGTAACGCCGTCCCGCCTTGTTTATCCGCTATGATGCCTCGGCCTGCCAGGCGCTACAGTATATTTCAGAGTAGGCCTACACTTCTGCACGTCCCGCATTCACTTAAGAAAATATAATTTTTATTATTGTTATTATTATTATTATTGTTGTTGGTGTGTTGGCGACTGCCCAGGGTTGGTTCCTGCCTGCGCCCATTGTTCCCGGGATAGGCTCCGATCAAACCCCCACCCCACGACCCCAGTAGGGATTCACCTGCTTCAGAAAATCGATGGATGGATTATTAATGTTGCTGTTCTTAGAGTGAAACGCTCAAAAAAACCTTCCTGTTTTATAGGTAAACAAAACCGTACCCACATTCGGTAAGTATATGCCGTTTGCGCAACATACTGGAATCTCCGAAGACGCAAAAACTTCTCGGTAACCTGTCAAAACACTGCGAGTAATTTATAAAGGTACGAGGGGCGTTCCCTCTGCTGACGGGTGTAACAAACGGTGAAAAAGCCGCGTGAGAACGGCGTTAAGAAATCATATTGTCGGTGTTAATAGAACATGTCGTTTATTTCTGTAGTCAAAGAAATAGTAAAATATAAAAGGGCTCTGAATTGTCCATCCATGATTTCATTCTTCAAAGTAGGCCCCCAGGATTGGGCGCCAACTCATCGCAGGGCTATATCTGTGTGTGTGTGTGTATACATATACCCAACAACCAGACATTCCCTCGCGCGCTCAGTTTATGCAGGTATTTGCTAAACCACTCCTACCATCTTCTTAGGCAGCACTGGGGATGATCTGGACAGGCTGAAGTCCTTGTGTCACTGCTGCAGAGAGGTCGGTGCTTAGGATTTACAGCGTTTTAAAAAAGCAGAACTGCCGGAGTGCTTAAGTGGCGAGTCAAGTGTTTCTCTCTGACAAACGCCGATTGCTCAGGTGCAAGATTTTGGGAAACGCGGCAGTGTGACGGTTTTGCGTCTCTTTACCTGATAGATATTTTCGTTAAGTAAGACTAAGAGGTAAGATTGTTTCTGCCATGATATTGATTGCATTATTTCGAATGTCGGAAGAAATTAACGAAGATGAAACATAATTTTAATGTTTAAACTGTGGAAGTCTCATCCGTTTACCTATGAACAGTATTACTGAGAGACTTGTAAAGTTTAACTTCTACGTTGCTTTAGGAATAAGCGTGTAATTTGTGTCAATAAACCAAATGAGAAACTTGGTTTTGGTGAGAAAGCTTTGGGGATTGTACTTGAACTATAGGCTCTTTTACTGATTTTTGTCAAGTCCTTGCCGTCACCTGTCTTTCCTGTCAGTGAAGTGCATGTTTATTGATTTTGTGTCAGTGTTTGTGAGTAACACTTGGTTTTGCCAAGAAAATAAAAGTAAGTGCTTGTGTTGTCCACACTATTGCGCCTTTGGTTGTTCTTTGGTTATACTTTAACCTTACCATGTGGAGTAAAGTTGGTTACCCAGTAACCATTAATTTTTCATTATGGTTTATACTTTATGAGCTTGCGGAAATGTCTACACGTCCCTTCTTAGGCAACCTTATAAGTATTTAATTTAGTAATCGGAAAATTAACTCCCGGAAGGAAGTTTTTAATTTAACTTTTGCCGGAGAATAAGCCAAGTGTGTTTATTGTTTTTTAGTGCGTCATACCGTCTTGCATATGACCAGTGTTGAATTTCACTCCATAAACCTGTTCTGCGCAAGAGGGACCAACAAGAGTTTATTACTAACTGTGGACAGCTGTCATGCTGTCAAATTGTAAATATTATGGTACGTGCGAAATAATTTAATGTCTGGGTCTTGTACGGACAGGTCAGTCTTTAGGGACGCTGTGAAATCAGTGATCATACAGAGTGATGTTTTTCAAACGATGTAATCATTTGGAGAGCTTCTCAGACACATACCAGCATTGCTGCACCCCTGGTTTTGATGACTGATCTCATTGTGAATGCTGCATGAATTAACCTTATATCAGTTAAAAAATATTTTTGAAAACATTACGCACCATTTCATTACTCAACAAAAGCATAATTTCAATCGAGTGTCATGCTGCTTGTTTGCATTCTTTACAATCATTTTTATAGTTTTCTTTTTTCTTAAAGTTGTACACTGTAGTCAATCCAGAGCAAGTGCCAAAGATGTATCTACTATACTGTTGTTGAATTTTTCAATGTATAAAGAGTAGTCAGCGTTTCACACAAAGGTGCTGCTGTAAATGAGAGCTGACGAGAGGCATGGTACGGATAGTGCAAAAAAACAAAGCAGTGCAGAGGTGAGCCGAAGGACGAGGCAGCACACCGCGGGATGAGAGGGAGGATATTTGCCTGATCGCGGACCATTGATGTGGGGACAGCCCCCCTTTGATTCCGAACTGCCCGGAAGGAGGAAGCTGTTTTTCTATTTTGGTTAATGCCGCCAATGACGTAACATTAAACGTACAGGCTAAAAATGCAGTTAATTAATAGTTTTAAAACCGCAACTCTCAGGGAGAGAAAAAAGATGAAGCACTGTGATAACATCCCGTCTATGTACAAATCCCTGGCAGCACGCGCGAATTTGAACCCTTCACTTGATGTTGCTTTAGATAAAAGTATCAGAATGAATAAGTGCAGAAGTAGCTGGGCCTGGCTGCCCCCTTTCCACGGCCCATAATTAGAAATTACTGCTCGTCTAGTATCGACTGGTATATCGTTCCTTTCCCTGTTGACTTAAGTTCTTTCTTTATATCGCGGTGTGCTTATCGCTGTCTCTGGCGGTGGAAATGATAGTTCTTCCAAGCATCAGTGTATGTTACAGTAGTAATATCACCTCGAAATTACTGTTTAAGGTTAAGGAGACTGTATATTGACTTATTAAACAATGAAATAATACAATTCTCTGCTGGTAGCGGTTAATCCAAAAAATCCTGATAATGGTTCTTTTCAAGATACAAATTACCTGAGCTTTGGCCCTGCTGGGCCCCCCGGATCCATGGATGCCGGACAGAACCAACATGATGCAAGAGCTGCCTTCAGAGCTCAATCATGGGCAGGGGTGGGTGAGAGTGATGACTGGTGCCTCCCCACACTTGACTTTCATTTTCTTCGTGGCAGGGCGTGCGGGCCAAGGAGCCCACCGAGCTGGCGGAGATGGAGGAGGGCATGCCGGATGAGCGGGACCTTAAGGAGATGCAGGAGGAGGAGCTGTGGGACATGATCAACGACCACCGGTACCGCATCTCGCAGAACGTGAAGCCCTGCACTCTGATCCCGTACCTGCGGCAGGCCCGCGTCCTTAACGAGCTGGACGAAGATGAGATCCTCAACTTTGTGAAGTTCCCCAACTGGAGCCTGAGGACAAGTGAGAGGCGCAGGGGCTAGGAAGTAACCAGGGAGGGGCAGTGTGGAGTTACAGCAAGATTACCGATATAGCCTTGACTGACATATATACTGTACGAGTGATTTATTAGATGATGACAGTGACAGAGTTATGGCTGTGTGTTGGTTAGCAAGGAAATTCTGTGTCTGTTGCTTGTCCTATAAGCAAAAGCAGAGGAGCAGGGGGTTGGGCCTCCTTTGGACACCCGTCCCTCCTGACTCACGTCCCTCCTTCCCTGCCAGGCCACATGCTCGACATCCTGAGCATGCAAGGACGCAATGGCGCCATGGCCCTGCTGGAGAGCCTGATGATCCACTTCCCCAAGCTGTACACGCAGATCACCGGCCGCAAGCCCGCCATCGAGCCTTCGGGCTTCAGCAGTAAGGGCCTCCCCCTACATTCTGATACCCAGGAAGAGAATGTTTCAGATAAGATTCAACTTTGTCATTATGTTGAGTACAAGAGTAGAGCCCGTCAAATGCAGTTAGTATCTAACCAAATGCAAATAAAATATATACAATCAGGAGTGTCAGAAATGGGGGGGGGGCAGTCTTAGTCTTATTTTTAAATTGCATCCTTTCATGATGTGACTATTGCATGGTCGTCCATTGCAATCGCATCCTCTTCCATCCCCACCGCCGGTCAAACTCCTTCCGATGCCACGGTGCACTTATATAAAAAATACAAAAAATATGTTTAGATAAATTATGAATTTAAATCTAAATTATGGTCCTATTCAAAATACAGTGGTACCTCAGAACTCAAATTTAATCCGTTCAGAACTCCGGATCGAATCCTAAACAGTTCGAGTTGTGATCGAATTTTCCCCATAAGAAATAATGGAAAAGCAATTAATTGGTTCCCGGCCCCCAAAAATTACACCTAAATATGTTTTTTATAGCATTTAAGCACAAAATGAACCGGATAAATCAAGAAAGAGCATATACTGTACTAAACACATCTAAGAACATTTATCAAAACAGTAATTTGTAAAGTAAGAAAATAAATATATCCAAACAATGTGTGTGATTGTCCGCTCCTTCCGAGTGCCACGCCCCCTAGTTAACCTCGTGTGGAATCCCAGTGTGATCAGCTGTTTCTAGTTGTTGTCATTAGTCCTCTGTATTTAGTCCGCGTTTCAGTTTGTTTCCCCAGTCCGGTCATTGTATTGTCCATCTGCGTTTTGCCTGCCTTACCTGTAATTAAACCCCGTACTCCCCAATACCCTTACGTCTGCGCCTTTGTTTCCGTTTCGTCCCCGCTCGGCACAACAATATTATTATAATTAAACGTATTAATGGTTTATTATTAATATTGAAATAATGAAATCTTTATTTTTAAATGTATTTTATTACATAATAATAATTACTGTTACTGTCTATCATTGTCTAAATGTATTTTTACTGTCTAAATATATGTATTCAGCTTGTGTAAACATGCAGGATGCTATCACAGCTAATGTGAGGCTGAGACTGAAGCGTTACCCTTTGTTTCCGCTGAGAGACGTGCCGCGTTACTCATTTCCCCGTGCATAAAAGTTATCTTCGGTCAGCGTTCACGGTTTGACTTCTGAGATTCAGATTGAGCTCTAGGTATTTTTTTTTTCAAACTGGTTGGTTCGACTTTTAAGAAATTCGAGTTCTAATGAGTTCGAGAACTGAGGTACCACTGTATACATGAGGTGCGCCGTAGAATAAGGTCCAGACAGGAAGTACAGTAAGGTGCAGACAGGAAGTACAGTAAGGTGTAGACAGGAAGTACAGTAAGGTGTAGACAGGAAGTACAGTAAGGTGCAGACAGGAAGTACACAGAATGATTGTGCTAGGAAATATGACAAGATGCAATGATACAAGTGCAAATGGGAGCTATACATTGTGCAATGATGAGCAGTCAGTGTAGACAAAGCACATAAAACTCACACGCATGCACTGATACACTGAGTGAACACCTATCCGCCCCCCCATAGGCCTGATAAAGAACTCGGAGCTGACAGAGTACCTGGTGCGCGCAGTGACTAGCATGCAGCGTGAACTGCAGGAGGCGCGTGCCGAGGTCAACTCGCTGGCAAAGCGCGGCGCCGAGCTACGGGCCGAGCTTGCCCAGGCGCAGCGGCGGGCCGAGGAGCAGCAGCAGCTGCAGGAGGAACACGCACGCCTGCGCAGCCACATGGCCAGCCTGCAGCTGGACCTGCTCAAGCTTAAGGACGAGAAGTGCGACCTGTATGCGCGCTACACCGTCGCCATCCAGGAGAACTCCACCGTCAACATCCACTGCCGGGACCTCCAGCTGCAGGTCAGATGAGATTCATCCGGAGCCTGGAATCGCAGGCAGTGTCATGATGCAGTGCGAATAACTCACCCCCTCCACTCCGTTAGATGTACGAGCTGCAGTTTCAGCTGCTCAAAGCCCAAACTGAGACGGACTTCCACCAGAAATCCCTGAAGAGAAACAATGCCAACGAGATGCTGCAGCTGCGGGAGGAGAATGGCTTCCTACGGCAGCGGCTGCTGGAGGCCGAGAAGTTCAATCCGGTGAGCCTGCTGTCACCTCCGTCGGGAGTTTGCTGTCTGGCTGGTGCAGAGGCTCGGTTTAGGCTTTCGGGATTGTGGGCTCAGATGTGATTCTAGGATTCTTTAAGGTGGGGTGGGGGCATAAGAGGGCCCATAATTCATACAGAGGGGCCAACCTTAGCATTAGCCAACGATGTGTTTCCAATTAGTAAGTGACAGGGGAGGGGCATTCTGTGGGCCAATCAGCTTTCAGCTCAGGCCAGTGTTCCTCGGGTTCAGTTCCTGCCCCCAGTGTGCATGCGGAGCAGTGGTGAAAAAAGTACTTAATTTTTTTTATTTAAGTATAGATACAACACAGAAATGTCACTGAAGTAAAAGTAAATGTCATCCAGTAAAATAATGGTGAAGTAAAACTAAAAATACCTGATTTTAAAAGTATTCAAATCAATTGACCTCACAAAAAGCAACCTATCGTTTTAAATTCACTCAGTCGCATATTTTGTATGTAAAATATTTGTACTTTAGTGTGTAGTTCTGACTGACTCATATTCTAAATTATTGCCCATAACTGCCAGGAAACGAATCAACATTAAACCAAGACAAGGCTGCAGTTATCTCTTTCAGTCATGTTTGCCTACGCCATTGAATTTCGGACCATAAATACTGATTCTGAGAAGAAATGATAGTGTCTCACGTGAATGGAAACCAGGATATTAGACAGTGTAATAAAAATACTTGATGCGGAACAATTTATTTTGATGTTCATTTTGCGTGTGTGTGTGTGTGTGCGTAAGGCGGAAGCTACACCAACGCATGCTCTGTTTGGGCCCACGATTAGACTTCTGTCTGTCTTCGGATGCAGGCGCGGGAAGACATCTTGGCACAAGACCTGGAGGAGGAGCGAGACGGGCGCACCAAGCTGGTGGAGCTCCTGCACCATGAGAAGGAGGAGCACGAGAGGCTGGTCCAGGAGAGGGACCAGGTGACAGCACTGTCACGCCCGTGTCGCCAGCATATTTGGACACGTCCCCTCAATTAGTGTCTGTGACTCATTACATATGCGGCCACTAAATAATACTCCTAATAAAATGCTATGAAAATGTGGGAAAACATTTCCAGTTTGAGCTTGTTTCACCAGTGTTCCTGATTTGCCCGATTAAAACGCCACATGTGCTCACGCACTGTGTACTTGCAGCTCATGGAGGAGAAGGACTGCCTGGCCTTGCAGGTGAAAAAGCTGTCTCTGGACTGCGAGATGTACCAGCAGAAGAGCACGGTGATACAGAGCCAGCTGGATGAGCTGCAGGAGGAGAGAGACCAGGTCTGTCAGGCCGAGGAGCGGGAAGGTTTCAGCAGGGAATCCGCTCTTGTACCTTTGAGGAAGGTGCTCAGGCATAAACTTAAACATCTGGCTCAATTAATGGTCACTAAGTCAAGAGATTTTGACATGGACTTCAGTACATCTTTCACATTTATTCAAAACAACTCAGGGTTAAGAAAGCAGGATCAGACAGTCCCTGGGGCAGTATGTGGTGCCCAGTGCTGAAATCACTTGGCTGATCATGGGATTTGAACCAGCGACCTTCTGAATACATGCACAGGGTCATGACCCACATGTGACCCTCTAACCTTCATAATAGACACTCCCACTCCCTAATTTATTGATTACTGTCTCAAAGCATGCAGTAGGGTTAGCTTACTGTTCACAAAGAAATATACTGAATGGCGTTGGGGGGGGTGGGATAATATATTTCAGTATGTTTAAGGAAGGTCTTCATATTCGCTGTATTACCCCCAACCCAGGCGTACCTGTTGAGGGACGAGGCTCAGGCCCAAATTGCCCGCAACCTGGCAGAGAAGGACACCCTTCGGGGGCAGCTGGTGGAGCTCCAGGAGAAGCTCTTCACCCTGCGCGCCCAGAGCTGCCAGAGAGAGGAGGAGCAGAAGAAGCAGAGGGTGAGGCATTGGCCTCTTAGAGCAGCCGTCCTGCATTCGCTGGATAGAGATGGTGTTTAATTAAAGTGTGTGTGTGTGTGCGTGTGTGTGTGTGTGCGCAGCCCCGAAAGTTCAGCTGGGATTCCAGCTTTTCCTGCAGCATTGAGGAGACTTTGCTCAGTCCTCGTCCACGGCCCGCCCTGTGCAGGATGAACGCCATTTGTCCTCAAAGCATGAGAAGCACGGTCAGTTTTAGCGCTCTTCTCTTGTCTGCGGTCTTTGTTTACTAAAGTGGCCACCGGCCTTCATTTCCCTGAGCAACCTCAACGTCGGCATCGGACGCCGTCCTCGATTTCGGGGTCGCGGCTCTCAGATCTGATAGCCCCTCGCCCCTTGGTCAGCGACGCTGTTTCTCTCGTACCAACAGGAGAGCATCAAGAGCTTCTGCAGCTTTCGCTCTGAGTCCGCTGAGCCGCCCAGCCTGGAGTCGCTGCGCAGGCGGCAACTTGACGAGAACCGCTGTAGCAACAGGTGAGTGGGTGGATGTGGGAGGCTGAACCGGCAGAGGTGGGATCTGGAAGTGGAGAGGCTGATTTAGTAGTTTGGGGGGGGGGGGGGGGGGGGGTGGTTTGTCACAAAATCAAGCTGGAGATAAGCTACGGTAATTGGAGCCAAATTCATGTAGTAGGGGCGGGGCCAAGGACTTCAGTAATACTTCCCAGTGTGTAGCACTTATGGTGGAGATCATGTGGTTGAATTCCCTTTCTCCTTCCTACGCCTGGCAGAGGTTCCTCTTTAGGAGGTAGGCAGAGCTGCAGTAGACAGGAGTAGCCCTTCTGCGTCGTGCTCGAGTGGCGCCGGAGCCAGCTTTTCCGGTTCTTTCAGAGCTGCTGGCTAGAAATGCGAGAAAGGGGAGAACTGGACTAAGAGCGAGCCTGAAATGAGAACAGTGCCGTGCTGTGCCTTGCTGTGTTAAAGAGCCCACTATCCGTTTCTGTGTCTGTCTGTCACAGTTTCAGGATGTGGGACTCGCGCCCATCTGTCTCCGAGCCAGATAACGACTTTGAGATCATCCATAAAGGTAATGGGCTCTGCTAGCATTTTTTGCATTTGATCCCCGACTGCAATCATCCTGCTCACAAAGGCACATTCGTCTTTGTGTGTTTCTGTGTGTGCTGACCATGAACATCAGTATGGTTTTTAAAGGGGCCCTATTATGCTAATTTTCACTGTTCATCATTTAATTTTTTGGTGTCTTCTAAAATAGATTTACATGTTTCAGTGTTCCAAAAACACATTATTTTTCTCATACTGTACGTCTCTATTCACTCTGTTTATAACTATGAAGTGCTCTGTTAGAGCTTTAAGCCCCACCTCTGATAGCCCAGTGTGCTCTGATTGGTCAGTTTCCCAATTGGTGAGTTTGTCCTACACGTTATGCCAGGGGCGTCATTAGGTCCGGTTGCTAAGGGCTATAGCCCCGAATATTTTATCCTTGATGCCTTCCTTCCTTCCTTCAAAAAGAAAAAACGTCAAGCCTCAGATAAACTAGCCCCTGATTTTTTTCAATAGTTAGAAACGCCCCTGCGTACCGCCCCTGTCTTGCAGTCTGCAGACAGATCCTTGCAAGTAGGCGGCCAATAAGGATTGTGTTACGAGGTGACCTCACCACGTCCCAGAAGTAAGGCCTGGAATTCCGACGAGTCATTTCAGGCAGATTAGAGAAGAGTGGTTTTTGTGGTGATAGTTATTCCCTTTGCATGTACTTTGGGCCTTTGCAGACCATTGACATGCACATACAACTATATAACACACTAAAGGAAAGGAAAAGGCCGGAAAAGCATAATAGGGCTCCTTTAAGTCCACCTCTATCTATCTTGTATGTTACAGTGGATGAAGAGGCAGCGCCTCCATCTTTGTCTTCTCTCCAGAGTAACACCACCCGGTGAGACCTTCCTCCATCTCAGCTTTGCTATGCTTTTCTCTCTGTATTTGAAAGCTTCATTCCCTCACCCCCCCTCCCCAAAAGCCAACTGTTCAGTATAAAGCCCATTTATGAATATATTTTTCCTGTTTCTTATGTGCATTTTTTTTGGGTACAGGAAAACAGCCCCACCGTTCCTGGTTCGTTCCCGGCCTAAGGCACTGCGCCTCGGCACCCCCGGCTATGGCCTGACCATCTCCTTCCAGGGGGAGGATCTGCTCAGTCAGTTGCGGGTGGTTGGTGGAAACAAGACAGGGGTGTTCATACATGAGGTCAAAGAGGGATCCCCAGCCCAGGATGTGGGTCTCAGGCCTGGGGCCCAGATCATGGAGGTAAGGATAATGCTGTTTAGAACCATCACAAACAAAACAGATAAAACTGTGTTTTGTAGACTACACCATTTGCGTAATAAACAAAGTTGCTTGGGACCAGGTTTTGTAGACTCATTTACTGAACATGTTCATGCAGTGCAAGCTAAAAACCTGGGTCCCTTTACGTCGGAGCTAGATAAGATTTTAACAACTCTGAGCTATTAGTTAAGTTCTCCCCAAACGAGCTTTATGGGCCTAATGGCCTCCTCTCGTTTGTAAATTTTTAATTTTCTTATGTTCTTAACAAAACTGGCACTGTGTGTCATAGACTCATTTACTGAACAAAAACACGCTTGGCACCATGTTTTGTAGACTGTTTCATTCATTAAACAAACAGCTGCTTGGCACTGTTTCGTAGACTCATTATGGGCCTAATGGCCTCCTCTCGTTTGTAAATTTTTAATTTTCTTATGTTCTTAACAAAACTGGCACTGTGTTTCGTAGACTCATTTACTGAACAAAAGGAGCCTTGGCACCGTGTTTTGTAGACTGCTTCATTCACTAAACAAACAGCTGCTTGGCACTGTGTTTTCTAGACTGTTTCATTTGCTAAATAAAAAGCTGCTTGGCACCGTGTTTTGTAGACTGTCTCATTCACTAAACAAACAGCTGCTTGGCACTGTGTTTTCTAGACTGTTTCATTTACTAAATAAAAATCTGCTTGGCACCGCTTTTTGTAGACTGTCTCATTCACTAAACAAACAGCTGCTTGGCACTGTGTTTTCTAGACTGTTTCATTTACTAAATAAAAATCTGCTTGGCACCGCATGTATGTTGTATACATTGTTTAATTTAATAAACAAAAAGCTGCTTGGCAGCATGTTTTGAAAACCACTGTATGAGGTAAGCAAAAGGGCTGCTTAGCAACGTGTCTTGTAGACTATGATTGGCAGTCCCGGTTGCTCCACCGGTCCCTAATAGCAGGGAGCTACACTGTGAACCTGGATCCAGCAGCAGAGCAGGGACCAGCAGCAGGCTGAAAGCCAGCAGAGTACTCGGGCATTTGTGGCAGAAAGCATTGCAATACCTGCTGTCTTGGATATTGCAGCGTATTTTGAGAAATGCATCAGCCAGTTACAGTCGCAGTCAAAGGTAGCAATAGGAAGTTGTATCAGAGACTCGCAAGAGAAATCATGTTTCTATAAATGACATTTAGGACTGAGGACTAAGTACTGTATTCTTCATCCGCTTACAAAAGTCCCGTAGGATTGGGATTAGTTGCTGGCATCTAGGAGATGGGTGGACTGTTGACATTGGTCTATTGAATTTTGAAGATGATGACAATCGGTGTGCTAAACGGGGAAAAAAGTGAAACCTTCATCTCGCTCCCCTGCAGATGCAGTACGATCAGGGGCGACACTCATTACGCATGGTTTTGGAGGATTCTACTCTGGAGGAAGCGCTGTGGGCACTGGGTCAAGTCCGTGGCTTCTTCCACCTCTCAATTCGGTACAATCAGGACAGTGAGTCACAAACCTCTTGTGTTATTTTGCTTGGGGGTTGGGTAGTAGGGAGTGATGGTTTGGTGATGCTGTCACTAGTACAATGATGTATTGCTGCCAACAGTTAATTATTTTAATTTTGCTGTTATGTTACGGGATACGATAGGAATTCATAGTTAACCATTCATTCAAGTCAGGCCGCATACCTGAGAAGCTGCATTTACGCAGTGAGGGTAGAAGTTTAACTCTGTGTGCTCTGACACTGCATGCTTCCAGCTTATGAGAAGCTGCTGGTCCAGCTTCAGAGTGGCGAGGTGACCTCAGGAGACTCCTTTTACGTGCGCGTCAACATGGGCCTGCTGCGCGGAGCCGGGTACACGCTGGCCATCCGCTGCAACGACATCCTGCACGTGACCGACACCCACAGCGCGGACGGGTCCTGGAAGGCCAGTCACGTGCAGCCGTGCAACCTGAAGGACCTGGAGAGCGGCACCCTGCCCAACTACTACCGGTGAGGCTGCTGCCAACGTCCCAACGTCTCTCCACACTGGATCGTCTGCAGTTCACAAAGTCTCCAGAAGGGGCACCCTTAGTCGCTATACCAGTATATAGCAGTGATCAAAGTTATCAACCTGGGGGGAGGGTTGACAACTGTAAAATTTATTTGATTTTTGTAAGTGTTATGCGGGCTATTGCTTGGTTGCCTGTGGGCTATTGCTTGGTTGCCTGCGGGCTATTGCTTGGTTGCCTGCGGGCTATTGTTAGCTCACACTCAACGTGTTGGTGACCACTATGCACGTTATTATGGATGTACACTGAGAGCTCATTCTGCTCCAGGTTTGCCTTGCATTTTATGGCATTATGCACTCTTGTCGACCATAGTTTAGAAGAATACCCCAGTATGCCAATGTTTGAAGTTAACGAGTAACTCTGGCTCAATTTTACCCTGTTGTATGTAGCAGTTGGGGATTGTGAGGTGTAAATATAGACAGTGAATTAAATCTGTCGTTAACTCTAGAGCTCAGCGCCTGCTGATAAGGGCGATCGAGGACATGACCTTGCAGCAGACGTCACTGCGGAGGGTAAGAAGCGATGACACTAATGCGAGTTATTACCGAAACACAACATTCACTGATGCCATGGAGATGTGCTCTCTAATTATTCCCTGCTCCCCTGTGCCCCCCCCCCCCCCTGCTAGGTGGACCCCTGCAATGGTCAGGCGAATCAGAAGTCGGTACGGATCGTCAGCACGGGCCGGCTGGGGCGAAACCCACTATGGGTGTCTGTAGAGGAGGATAACTCGGAGGAGGCTGAGGGGACAGGTGGGTGTTACCGATACCGGTCGTCACGGTGATCTAAGAAATGTTGATGATGACTGTCTATTAACGTGCATAAAGGAGTGCGTAACTAAAGCAGAACAAGCCAGCACCATAATGTCAACACAGTCCAGTAGGAATGAATCCTGCAGGAATTAAAACCGCGTAAAACCAGGAGAAGAAAGAAAAATACAGCAGCTGGATACATTTTGGATATAATACATGTGGGGGGGGGGTGTGACTCAGCATATTTGGACACTGCCTGTGATCGGAAGGTCACTGGTTCAAATCCTATAATTTCACCATTGGGCCCTTTGAGCAAGACCCTTAACCCCCAAATGCTCCAAGGACTCAACTGTATGTAGATAAAAGGCTCTGGTAAATAAAGCAACTGTAATTTCCACCCTTACCTTTCAGAAGTCATTGTTATTGATTTATTTGAACAAGATAACTACATGTTTTAAATTAATTACTTCCTACTTTTGCTTAATTATTTCATAAAATGCTACAGGGCACATGCTGGTACCTGCCGTGTTTATTTGACTTGAAAACAGAAGCCTGAAGCTTTGTATAGCAGCTGAGCATTTAGTCCAGGTTCCCCAGTTCTGATCCTAGAGGGACACAATAAAACACAGTTTGCAGGTTTCCCTGCCCAAACCCATCATAATCGGCTACTTACCAGGCTTAGTACGTGTGTTTGAGCAGAAGAAATCTGTGGACTGTGTTGGATTTGGGCCTTCTGGGGAACCCTTATTAAGTGCGCCGTAGACGTGAAGCGTTAACAGCCGGTTCTCATGTGTGACCCTACAGGGGACGGCGTGACTTCCCGGGGCTGCATTGCGCTCATGCCCTACACTCTCGTCACTCCTCACCACCCGCCGGCCTCTCGGCCTGTCCTCCTCCTCCCCTCGGTGTTTGGCGTCCTCCTGAACAACAAACTGGGGGAGCTCCGGGGCTTCCAGTTATGCAAACCAGGTAAGGAGGATGGTGTCACGTACTGCTGCCTGAAGCTAGCAGGCATTCACGTGTATCAGAGCATCAGCGAAATAGCACGAAGCTGAGCATTTTCATACAGTGACGTCATTTGTGTAAATGATCTCTCCACATACGTCTGATCGGTCGAATTACAAAATAGGGATGGGGTTTAATTGTCCTTCCAGCGGTTTTTCAAATTTCATTTGAAATCTGATAGAGGAACAGATCAGTGTGATCTGGGGGAGAAACTATCATAGGCTATGTTTCAGTTTGTAGACAATTGAAATATACTCTTTAATATCTGTCAGCAGCAGTTTGATGTTGATATTATTCATTCTGAGATAACAGCACCAGTGTTCATTAAGGGCAGAATATAAGGATGTACCAGAAAACAATGTTTCTGTCAAGTATTTTATAATAATTAAATAAGAGAAAGAATGTCATAGAACAGCCGTCAAAAGTATCCAGATAAGAAATGAATTTCTCTTATTGCTTTGATGTCGTTCTGTTTACTAGTTCAGATCACAACTGCAGAGCACGCATTAAAGTTCCAATCATCTGGGCAGGTGTCATTGTACTGTAATCAGTGTCACATGTAAGAGAGCCCCCTGGTGGGCAACTTTAAGGCAACAAATAATTCTGCAATCATTTACATGGAGCGGTGTGCACTGAAGAATTCTTGGCCCTGTCCTCACTTGTCATGCAGGCTGTAATGAAACATTAGACTGTACTTTCACTTGTTTTCAAATGCAGTGGTTCCCTTGTATTGATGCTGACAATGTGCACCACTCTGTACTGGAACTAAGAATATGCATTACCTAGTAAGAATATGCATTACAGTACCTAGTTTTTGGAGCTGAAAGGTGTTTGACGATCTGTTACAAGCTAATATGTTTAATGAGTTTCCCTTGAATTGTTTTAAATTGTTTAACTTTAAGCTACATCCTCCGTATTTGACCACTACCGATGTGTCAGTATTGTACAGTATGGAAGTTTTTGATCAGCGTCCTCCATCTCTCCTCCCGGTCGCCGACTCTCAACAATCTCCCCTCGCCTGCAGAACGTCTGAGCGCCAGCGAATGCGCCACACGGATGCAGAAGTCGGAGATCCTGGAAGACTGTGAGCGGGGGGCCTCCGACTGCTACACCCTGCAGAGTGTCGAGAAAGTGATCAAGCAGGTGCGTGGGCCTGGAAGGCGTTACGCGGCGCTCGATTGAGGATGCCTGGCTTCTGGGAGCCACAGGATACAAACCTGTTTCTGCTTTTCAGAGCTCCAGTGCACGTGTGCGTGAGTTGTCAACGTAAAAGGAAAAGACACTGACTATAGGAAATGCTGAGAAAAGAAGGAAGCGAGACTTTCTTGCCTGTGGGGAACTTCAAAGAGAACCTTGTAGTGATATTTTTCCTTTCTGTAGTTTTTTTTTCACTTGGGGGTATGTCTGCTTTATTAGTCATGATTTGAGGTCTGGCTGATATAGAGTGCTCTAATCAGCTCCTGTTCCCGGCTGCTCATTGTTCCTCGTTGCTCTTATTGATGTTACTGTGAGTGGTCAGTCCCTGCTCTGTTTAACTGACTAGTAACTAATGGGAACTGGGTCAAACCGCACACTTACTGGCAGTGCACAATAATGCCATCCTCATGTGATTCAGAGTCTCATTTCCTCCATTGCCGGTTTGAGGTGCCTGCTGTTCTGCTGACACCCTCCCACACCCAGTCCCCGTGACCTAGACCCCAGCTGCACTAACCAGAGCCCCATGTGTGTGCCGTCCTCACAGGGCCTCCACTGCGTGCTGCCCCTGGGACTCGACTGTGTCAGGCGCCTGCACAGATCTGAGATCTTCCCCATCATCATCTTCATCGCCCTGTCTGGGCGCAGCATCCGAAAACTCAGGTACTGCCTGAGGTTGTCGGTATGGGAGTTCAAGGAGACCGTGGGTGTTTCTCAATACGTGAAGATTGTACTCAGAGTTGGGTAATTCAGGTCCAGAGAGTAAAAGTCCAGACCGGGATTTTGTTTCAACCAAACAGTTGAATACTCTATGACTGTGACTCTTTATGCTCAACTGGTTGGTTGAAACAAAATCTTGGTCAGGACTTTTACTCTCTGGACCTGAATTACCCAACTCTGACCGTACTTGTGCACTTCGCAAGACCAGTCTTGTTAACTTGATTCCCAAGACCGAACTTGGGGCGCAGTGAATCATGGGATTGGTCTAGTTCGGCGAGGATGCAACCGATGCATCGTAGGAATTTGGGGCTGGGCGAGAATGACATCTGGGAATTTTTACCATCCTCTGTACTTCTCTTCTTGAGTATTGGAACTGGTCTTCAGCAATGGAAGGTGACGTCAAACGGGTGCATGAGAACACAAGTGCGGCCAAGTATGCGTGTTGACAAACACCCCATGTCTCTGCTGTGATTTGTACCATTTGTCTTTGTGTGAACTTTAGGAGTCTGAATGAGGCACCTTTGCTGCCACTCGCCATCTCAGCTAAAATGAAAAATGATAAAAGGGGCTCATTGTCATGTACTGCTTACAGTTGCTTAGTAGACTTTCCCCATTATAGTTAAGGACCACTGATATCCACTGAGATCCGGCAATTAATATTAAACGATAAATCCTTTATTTGCCATTCGCACGAGTACAAGTACACTGGAATTCTTTTCTTTGTCTTACCCCAGTGGGCTTCATTGTATATTATATATATATATATAATTTTATATATTATTCATTTATTTATTTTAATCTAGACGCAATACAACGTTCCCAGTCATGTACTAGTTCACTAATAACCAAGTGAAGTAATATCAAGATAACTTTTAAAAAAGTGCATGGTGGCCTTGAACCGCTCCCCATACTGGTAAGCGTGGCCCTCGTCTAAAACTCAGTGACGAGCACTGGTCTACCCCATCATGCTCGCCATAGCTTGGGGGTCACAGCGCAGGGTCAGCCAGCGTGTACCTCCCCTGGAGCTGGGGGTTAAGGACCTTGCTCAAGGGCCCACGGATATGTGAGTGTTCTGCCGAGGCCAGGACTCAAACCGGTGACCTTCCGATCATAGGTACAAAGACACTCACCAGTCGTACTATTTATCCAGATGATAGCCATCCTAGCTAGTTCAAATTCATGCTTCCGTTTTCCTTAACTGCTAATGCAAAGGCAGTGTTAGGATGAGCCTGAAGGTTATCGCAGGGCATGCGGCAGAGGACACACCATGCACACAAAGCCAGGGACGGCAATCAAACTCGCATCCCTGACAGTGAGAAGCTGCGATGCAACTCCACGAGCTACAGTGTTGCCCTAAAATAACATTATGTTGAAATGCAATGAAACAACGTAGAGCATTCAGTACGTTATAAATATTCTGATAGCTTAGTGTATTTTGTCACTGAGCTGAACTTATCTTTTAAAAGCAGCTATAATATTGTAACCTGTATGTAAACTGTGGCCTATTGTTTATCAGTAGTACTTTGAAGTACATCTCGAGAGCAAGCCAATGGGAAACTACCAAGGGCAGAGCGCCATAATTCATTTCAAATTTCATAACAATTTTGAGCCATCTTCTGGCAAAAACCCCCAAACGGAGTCAAAGGGAAGCGAAACAGTGCCAGATGTACAGTCAGGTGAGGCCCGTCTGGCGACACTCAACCAGATTCTCCTGTGTGTGTGCAGGAGCAAGCTGGGCATGACTGAGGAGCAGCTGCTGGAATGCTGCCGCAGCGAGGAGACCCTCCTGGACAAGCTGCCCTGCCTGTACCGCACCGTGGCCCCAGACAGCTGGAGTGGCACCTCCAACCTGCTGACCGCTCTGCGCGCCGTCATCCAGGAGGAGCAGCACAAGATCGTGTGGGTCGAGCAGGACCTACTGTGAAGGGAGATCAGGGTGGCAGAGGGAAGCCTGCCCAGACCCATCCATCCATCCATCTGCCGCATTTCCGGGATTCGGGTCGCGGGAGTAGCAGCTTCAGGAGAGACACCCAGACCTCCCTCTCCCAGAACCTTAGCTCTCTATTTAATGCTGGAAAGTCTTCTTTGTACCGCCTGGATGTCGGGTGCCGGTATCTGGGGTCACCCCTGCCTGGGGCTGGAGATATGCACGCCAGAGTAAAAAAACGAACAAAAAAGAACAGATTAATAGAACACACCAGCATATCTTTACATTACAACTGCTGGTGACAACTTTAATCAGGTTAATCAGGAACTGGTATGAAGGAACCCCTTTTATATGACTGTTTACTGAGCACATTTATCAGTAAACATTTCAGTATTGTGTTGTACTATTTATACTTGTGTGTGTGTGTTGTGTGCGTGTGTGTGTTTGTGTGTGTGTGTGTCTTGGACTCTTTTTTTTTTTTTACTTCTTAAGTTTCCTTTGCTGGGTTTTTCCCAGCTAAACGTAAACCTGTAAGGTTCTTAGGTTAAGCAGGTTTGATGGACACAGTCAGGTTATAGTTTAAAAGAACAATGTTTAACAAAAGCTTTCATAAAGCTTTAAATTCTAAGGTATTTGGGGACACACAGAAACGGAACGTGTTTTAATACCAAGTTCAGGTGTAATAAGCCTTGTGCTATTTTTGGAATGAGTGTACGCCAGCACCCGGACTGTCCCGGTCGCCATTTTGCCTTGATCCTGTTTTGGACTCCTCCCAAATCGCTGGAACAATCTAAAGCACATCAGCTATTAAAGTTCAAGGGTTTATATCATGAATCAAATTAATGTTCTATTTAAAATTAATTAGAAATCCTATTGCTTTGTGCCTATATATTAATGTGCAGTTGAACATAGAAACAGGATGAACAATATTTTTGAGATTTTACATAAACAGGGAAGCAACAGACAGCAGTATAGCTCTTTTCAAACCACATATGTAAGTGCTGTGGTATCTGCAGTTGTTTGCACTTTCAAACAATAAATGGTACTTAAAAATGTAAGAACTCTTGTAAATAAATGTGTATCTACTGTCATACTCACTATGCCCTGTACTGACTAGGAATATTGTTATTTTTGTATTACCCAACAAATATTCTTTTTATTGTATGTATGTGTGTATTTATGTATTATTATGTTTCCACGAGCTGCCAAACATTATTAAATATATGACCCTGAATAATTTATTAAATGTATGCAGCAACTATTATGATATAAAGCGAAAATCATTTAAATTATACTTAAACGCTATTTGGTTTGTGGTCACAACTACTTGAATTACCAAATAGACACTCTTTGAACACAATTTAATGAAGTAATCCAATTCCATATAGCGTTTCTAAATGCGAGTTTATTGCTCCCGGCTTAAATTTAATGGCTGAAATCTGAAATGTAACAGATTGCGCACCTATTTAAAATGTTATTAACTTTGTGTAAAACTATATAGGTTGCAAATACATTAAATTGCGGAATCTGGAGATGTTCGGAAGAATTACTCTTTTGATGACTTAAATTGGCAAGCAGCTTCAACATTTAAGCTTAATTTTATTGATTAGTAAAATAATTATTAAAATAACAACGCCCAACTCAACTGTGTGAAAGGATCAGCCAAGTGACAAAAAAAAAGAATCTAGATCACAAAGACTGGTCCTTGATCTGTCTCCACGCTAAGCGCAGAAGCGGTGCCCGAATCACGCCCTCGCCAGAGACCGCAGATCGCTGCCGGGCGGGACGCCTGCGGCCCCTGCTTTCCGCTCGTTCCGCGTCGATCCGGCGCTCGTCCGGCGGCCGGAGAAGCGGACCTTCATCCCGGAAGCAGCGGCCTGGTGGGTGGGGCTAAAGGCGAGACGCCGCAACGTGTTGTAGCGGGACTCTCGGGTAAACACACGTACGGCTACGGTTTAATAATAGTAATTATTATTATTATTACTATTAACAAAGAAACACTACGAGCCACTTTGACATTCAGGTCTCTGATTCCCGCTAAAGATGGATGAGTGCCTCTGACCATAGTCGCGGGCAGCATAGAGGGTGAGATTAAATTCGTATGCCTTTTATTTGTATATGTGCTTAGGCGGTTGCCTGCTGTTCATTCTTGCACAGGTGTATAGAAAAAAAAACATGTTTATGCGGACAGGGATTCGTGAACCTATAATAGCATTTAAAAAGTCTGCGTACTGCTAGTGAATCATTATTTAAATTATGTTTATAGAAGTTAATATGGACGTGGAAACGAAGGGGAAAATGACAGTTTGAATGAGCGCGGCTTAGCGGGATAAATAGGTAAAGGCTATAGTGTATCTTTGGGTGTTTTAACATCAAACGGATGGTTGTGTCCTTTGCAGATCGGCTTGATCGCCAGTAGTTGCCTGCTGGGATGATCGGCGGTTTCCTCTTCCCCTGTCACGGCAGCGCGTTACTGATACCCCGATTAGCCACCTACTGAAACATCACTGCATGAGAAACTTAATCTGCTCCTTGTCTGGGGTAACGGGCCGGGATCTGTGCTGTAGTCTTTCTAATTTTCGTAGTCAACCCGTTAGACCTTGGGTGAGTGCAGTTAATGAAACGGAGGAATGTTTTTTGTGGATTGGTGGAATATCATATTCAATATCTGTCGCGGAATTCCTAGGGCTCTAAGCACATATTGTTTTATCATTATTTGAGTATTCGCTATAGTACATTTTTTTGTCCTGTAGGAACGTGTTGTTGCTTACATAAGTGGAGCTATATAAACTGGTGATATGATGTGCTGCATGCATTAATTTGAAGAATGATGTGCATTCGGGTAACACATCCAAACAGCCATTGCGAGGCGACAAGAAGAATAGACTAACCAGGAAAAAAACTTAATTCAACACTGTAATTTTATATCTTGTTGGCTGTAGCTGCAGTACTGGTACAGACAGTTAGACTCCTAGGGCAGTAGATAGTTAGAAGGTGAAGGACACTCGTTTGTGACCTAGAATTTACAGCCTCCCGCAGGAAGCCACTGTTGTATCCTTGAGAATCGAATCCAGCCTGACTTGCTTTATGTAAAACCTGGTAAAACTGCAAGTCACTTTGGTTGAACGCTTAAAACGAGACAACTGCGTGATCATGCAATCGGTCATTTTTTTTTTTGTCCTGGTCAGTGAGTAGTATTTAGGCCAATCATTCAGTAGCCCTGCAAACAAAAATGTCTATCATCTGAAGCACACATTTCCTGGTGTAAAGTTGTTTCACCTTGGACAGTCATTTTCCTGGGTAATCTCTAGGGTACATCATGGCATTTGATAGCGGCTTATGTATGTTTATTAATTTCAGCTGTCATTACAGATCATTTGACTTTGTTCGTTTGTCCTTTGTTCAGTTCCATAGGTTTGCTTTATATTTGCTTATTTACCAACGCTATTGTTGTTCTTGTTTATGTAGCTAATTTCCTAAGCAACTGTAAAATTACCTCTGAGTTCCATATTGAAACATTTCAGATTCCTTTATGGGGATAATGGTTTGTTGTTGTTGTTATATTAATGAATATTATTTAATGTGGAAATGTGAGAATGCAGAGCCCTGACTTAAGCAATGATCAGGGTTGTGTCAGACTTCCTGGGATTTGGTCTGTTGGCCTCCGACGCCCTGGCATTTCCTGTAATGCGCCCGTCTTCGTCTTGCGATTTCAGCAAACGAAAGAAGTTTGGGGCGGCGAAAAAAGCCAGCTGTGTTTCAGCCGTACATGTCAGCATATCACACGGTCTCGGTGTGACTGGGAGCAGAGAAAACGACTAACAGACATTTAGTAAACTGCTAAATAATGTCAGCATGTGATTATGAAGGTATACATGAGCATACAACAGCTTTTTTCCCTCAAATAATTGCAGTAATAGCTCTAAGGCAGAGCTGATTTAACGATATATTAAATGTGATTTGTCTTTGTGCTTCCATTCATCTGACTTGTTTCAAGATGATTGGGGGGCATGAGAGCTGCTGTATAGGGCACCCTGAGTTGCTGTCAGCAGTTTGAGGTTTTTTTTTAAGTCACAATCCTACCCCCCAAATCTCCCCTTTGTGTCCATTTGTCCTTTGTTGACAGTCCTGTGCAAAAGAATTTCAATTGAGTTATATTTTTAGTAGCATTTTCTTTAGTCAAAACAGGATCTTCCCATGTTCAGGATCTTTCTGCTGAGGATCTGTGTGGAACCGTCTGTTTGCGCTGGCGTGGTTTCCAGTAGAACTTGCTTTTTGGTTTTTGGGAGATCCTTCCTACCAGCTTTACTGCACTGGGATTACTGGTCATGGTCCCGAGTTAGCCCCCCAAAGGACTGTTTCCTACAAACTCTCCGTACTTCAGTCATGGCCACATCCTCCGTCCATGACACAGAATGGCTTATTTGCAACCTGATCTGGCCCAGTTCAGCGACATGAAAACCATGTGCGCCTCTTCAGTTATGTAATTACAAGAATGCAGTCCTTAGTGCATAAGTGCTGGTGTGATGTGGGGAAACCCCCCGTGCTGAAGCACCTTGGGGCTCCTCGTGTCCGTCTTCGAAACGGGGCTTCCAGTCAAATTCCAAAGGAAGGAAGTGGTGGAGCTTTCTCTGTTCAAGAAGCAGGGAAGAGCTTCTTTATGATGAAGTTAAGGAATGCAGAGTTTTTGGGATTTGCTGAGGGGGTGGTGGGTGGTAGTGAAAGTTAGACACTTGCTGCTGAGGTCTGACGACAGGGAAAGTTGGATGTCGACACGGGAGCCGGTAGTGAGGACGGATCCGTGCGGCTGCTTCCCCGTGTGCTGTTTGCTGAGGGTGGAGCGGCTCCTGGTCTTGGTGCCACTCGGTTGGAGCGTATAGTGACACTCCTCATAAATACCTCAGGCTCTGCCTTTCCCAGCCAACTGGGCCCCGTCCCCCCCGACTACAAAATGCAGCATAAATAAAGACAATCTAGCCCATTCCATGGGGCATATTGCATCCTACTCCTCCAGGCTGTGAAACCTCTTCTGGACAGTGTCTGTGTGCTTTTTTCTGTTTTACAAAAGCCAGCACAGATGTCACACTCTATATATAGTTAATAAAAAGGCAGGATGCTCCAGTGCGTCAGGGTAACGGAACAGTGCGCTGGGGAATAGCGTAAAATCAGCACATGCTCTGTGGATGTCCTGTAAGAGCCCTTGCAGCTGGGATGGGAGAAGCTGATCGTGTGTCTCCCCCCCCCCCAGAGAATGGGCACAGCGTCCGGGCGCTGGGGGAGATGTCTCTGGGCCGGCTGCTGCGACGCGCCTCCTCAAAGGCCTCCGACCTCCTGACCTTCAGCTCCGGCACAGGAGGCTCCAGGGGGCTGCTCGATGGGGAGATCATCTTCTCCAAGAACAACGTGTGCGTGCACCCCAGCGAGCCGCTGCCGGGCTTGCCTGAGCACCATCCAGGTAGGGGGGAGGTTTTGGGCCACATGGGTTAAACACGCTGTCTTGAGCTCGGAAACATTTAGGTGGTTGTCAAATACTGCGTCCCGTATAACGGCGGTCTGTCCTGATTTTCGAGCAGCATGGTGGCTCCATTGGTGGCACTACTGCCTCGCACAAGGGCGTAACTTTGAGATGAGCATTCGGAGCGTCGAGGTCTCCACCCATGGGGATCCTGGGGATTGTAGAATAGAATAGAATAGAATAGAATAAACCTTTATTATCCCACGAATGAGAAATTTAGGGGGGATTACGACCCTCCAACCCCCCCATAATTTACACCCATGGCCTTTGGAGTCCAGGCTTCGAGTCTCGAGTCCTGCTCTGCATGTGTGGAGTTTGCATGTTCTC